ATATTCAGTTGTAAAGTGTAAGGTAAATTTAAGGAATTCATGAAAACAAAGAAGAAAAAATGGACCAACATCTTTACAGGTTGATGGTCCTAGCAATATCTTGAAAATGGTAAGCATTTAATATGTTAATACTTTTCAACTCAAGAGGTGACTGATGGTGTGCAAACATTTTAGTACATTATACAATGGGTTCAAGAATGTAACCAATGGAAAGCGTCGAAATGGATCACGTGTGTGTGCATTAATTTATTACCATATGCATGGGAGTGCATTTCTGTGATAACAATTGTCAGTTTCTTGACTTGATACTCATATTGTCGACCCATCTTATGAAATAAATAATACATGTTTTTAGCTCGTGTATTAGTGATATGCACTCGCAACACGCATTGTGTGTATACTAACCTAACCGCGACCACTATTCTCACCGCCAAATGTACATACTAATGAACAACAACCTAGCGTAGAGATATAGTTGTAGAGATCACTCAAATAACAGAACTCAAAGGTCAATATGCTACAATGATTTTTCTATGAGTGTCTCGATCTCTTGTGGGATAGCAAGAAACAGTACAATAGTTCGTACGCCCCAAATATGGACCTATAATAAAAGGAAACTATTTGCTCCGCGCGTTGAACCATATCATAAGAAAATGGAAATATATCGTCAAGAGAGAGAGAGAGAGAGATAGGGAGAGGAAGAGGGAGAGGGAGAGAGAGAGAGAGAGTGAGAGAGGTGTGGGGTGGATAGATATATAGAAAGAGTGAGAGAGGGAAAAATAGGGGATTACAAGATTAAATTATGTGTGTGTGTGTGTGTGTGTGACAGAGAGAGGGAGAGAGAGAGAGGCGTTGGGGTGGATAGAAAGAACTAGAATGAGAGAGGGGAAAGATATGGGACTACAATATTTAATTTTGTGTGTGTGTGTGTGTGTGTGTGTTAGAGAGAACGAATAAGAGAAAGAATTTAGTAAAAGAAATGCACAGAGGTAGGAGGAAGATAGTCTGATGAACAGAAATATGAATCGATAGACTGAGAGAGAGAGAGAGAGAGAGAGAGAGGAGGGGGTAAGTGAGAGTTGGAGTGAAGACAGAGAGATTGAAATAAATAATCAGGAAAAAGGTTTAAAGGGACAGACATGCCATGGAAGAAATAGGGGCAATATAACAATATGGAACTTACTTAATGATGGGGGGGGGGGGAAAGAGAGAAAGTAAAACATGTGTGAGATAACGACGAGGGAGAGGATGCACAAACAGAGATATATATTTTTTTCTTTCAATTCCAAACTGCCCATTCGTTGTGTCCGTACAGGTCATGCATGCTCACAGAAATACGTCGAAACGGCTACGCCTACAAATAATTACAAGTTCGAGTTTTTGTTTATTTAAGTTTTACCTGTGTCATTCACGGGTGAACGCCTAAGATCACAATTATACGTGTACTGAAAACTATGCTGTACAATAGTACGTCATAATACACTAATGGGGCGTGGACGGTTTGAAATAAAGCGAACTGCCATAATATATTACAGGTTGTAAGACACAGGCGCTACTAATAGCCTAATAGCCGTAGCTTAATATTTAACACCTAAAAACCCCATTGAGACCCTATATATCAACTTAACTCTAACCTAGCACCTCACGTAACACCCAATTAAGACCTTATACATAAACATAACCCTTACCTAACACCTTACCTTTAACCCAATTAAGACCCTATACCTTAACCCTAACCCTAACCTAACACAGTACCTTAAACCCAATCAAGACCTTATACCTTACCCTAACCCTGATCTAACACCGTACCTTAAACCCAATTAAGACCATATACATAAACTTAACCCTAACCTAACACCTTACCTAAAACTCAATTAAGACCCTTTACCTAAAATTAACCTTAACCTAACACCTTACCTAAAACTCAATTAAGACCCTAAACCTTAACCCTAACCTTACACCTTTAATACCTAAAACCCAATCAATACCCTATACATTACCTTACCTAAAATTTAATTAAGACCCTATAACTAAAATTAACCTTGACCTTACACATTCTCTAACACCTCATTGAGACCCGAATTCACGTTGTAAGAATTCATACCCTGCTTAACAGGGTTTCGTTACTTCATTTTCACATATATACGAGGACAAAATTTGCCACGGAATTTGAATATTATTCAATACTGTTCCACCTGAGAATGTTCTAGATTCAATTCCTGGAACAGAATCTGTATATTAATTGTGAAGTTAACTCTTATGGAAAGAGATGATAATTCAATGTCTCCCTCTTTCCCACGTTTCCTTTTCTTTTCTTTTATTCATATTTTCATATTGAAAGTAAAAAATAATCCATGTGATATTCCTTGTAGGATATGATGGGTTAACTGTCCATATTCGTTTAACATTCTTTTCAAAAATGTTTCACACATAATGTATTAATTATATTTATTCGGAAAGTATTTGAAACGAGACAAATATAGTTGTATTCGTATAGTATCCAATATTATATATGTTTTGGTGCTAAAAGAAATAAAGCAAACCGCAATGAATCAAACAATTTAAAGTTAAAGTTGAGTTTTGGTCATGCTATTGCATTGTGAAAGAAACGTTGTGGAATTGATCAGAAAAGGTTGATCATCTAGCATAAAAGTATCGGTGTGTACTGCAAGGTTCTGGAATCATCAAAATGATAAGAAATAAGTCTTGGTATAGTTACAAGCATTGTACACAGACAGATGTATATGGGACTACACAAACACGTGGCGTAAAAATCCGTCCCGATTTTTACGATGTTACATGACATATTTAGAATATGAAGGCATTTGTAGCGCCATGATTTTCAGGGAACTTTTTTTTGTTATCCCATGTTCTTTCACACATGCATAATACGATGATAACGCTCACAAACTGTTTTCACCTCTTCCCGAACTCGACCTTCTCTTTAAATCTAAATCACAACGAATCAAAGTAAAATTCGAAAAGGAAAGAGAATAATCGATGGATTCAGATGAAAACCTTTTTTTTTAATTTGTCCCGAAAAAACAACGAAATATCTTTGGATATACACCCGGGCCTTAATAGTGGAACAGGGAAGAGAAGAAAAACGGGGATAAAATAATTTGAATAAAACATGTTTACAAACCATGTCGAAGTGTGAATAGAAACAACTATATGACATCATAATGAATCAAATTCCATACATTCCTCGCTCGGTCATATTTCTTTCAAATATGACCGAGCGAGGAATGTATGGAATTTGATTCATTATGATGTCATATAGTTGTTTCTGATCATAATTGTGGTTTTAGTTGAGGAATTCCAATCTTTTTTTTCTCTTTGAAGTTCAGTCACTATTATGGCATGCAAAATGCCCACTTCACAGGTATTGCGCACAAAGAGTTAATTTTTCTGAATTCCTTTTATACAAACGGTATCAAATGAATCTCGCATCTACCCCCTTGATGGTGTATACATGTTTAACCCTATTTCTACAGCACCCCCAGCCATAGAACATGAACGTTACATGGCCAGAGTATGGCTGGGGGTGCTGTAGAAATAGGGTTAAATTATATAGACTGAGTATATAAACAAATTTATAAAAAAAAATACTTCTTTAGAACTCGTGGGTATTAAAAGTAAGTAATATACTTAAAGATAGTATTACTTCACAACTTATGCATGTGGCCATGATAGCATTTCTAGCTGGCAGATAAATTAAGCCTTTAAGCAAGTTATCCAATAAACTCTATTTCTGCTACGACGACCACGATTTCTACTCCATACGTCCACGACTGCTATTTACTACTGCAACTGCTTTTCCTACTGCTATAAGTACTATTACTACTTATATTACTACTACTACTCAAACTACTACTACTACTCCTACTACTACTACTACTACTACTTCTACTATTATTATTACTTCTACTACTTTTACTGTTACTATTACTCCTATTACTTCTACCATCACTACAACTATTACTACTACTACCACCACCACTACTACTACTACTACTACTACTACAACTACTACTACTACTACTACTACTACTACTACTATCACTACTTCTACTAATACTACTTCTACTATTTCTACTACTACTACTACTACTACTACTACTACTTCTACTGTTTTTACTATTACAACTACTACTACTACAACTACTTTTTCTGCTTCTACAACTACTACCACTACTTCTACTACTACTACTACTACTACTACTACTACTACTACTACTACTACTACTACATACTACTACTACTACAACTACTACTACTACAACTGCTACTCCTAGTACTACCACATCTTCTATTTCTACTACTACATACTGTACTATCAATTCTACCACTTTTGCTATTAATACTTCTATTTCTTCTACTACAATATTCACATTGCTTTATACTGTTCTGTATTAAAGCACTAGTAACGTTCTCCGTTTCCATCTACACTAATAGAAACATGCATATTCACGATGTGTTATTAACCAATATTTCACTTTCTCACTGTTATTCGTATGGATGGTGCCAATATGCGGTCATGGATACTGCATCCATATACAAGTAGGCAGTACATATATATTGCGTTCAACGCATGTTTTGATTTACCAAGAAATGAACAAAAATGACTGCATACGAATACCATAAAACAGGAGGAAGTCAATATCAAGCATTATACAACTATCAATGATTTATCCGTACAATTGAAATGGTCCCAACTCCCAACACATCCATACTTAAATTGTCATAGAGATTAAATCGATAATGACACCACACCAGAAAGTTCACGTTTATTTTACTAACGAATATGAACACTCTAATGCTTTTTTTTACAGACCACCTCTTTTCCACGTTTTCAATGTCTTTATAACTTGCTTGTTATTGTTCATGAATTAATTGTTGTTGACGATGAACTTGTTGTCACTTTTCATGAATGTATTGTTTTCATGCACGTGGAAAGAAATAAATAAATCTTGAATCTTGAAAGAAAGTCAACTTACCGAAATATGTCTAGCGCAGATCTGTAACTAAAAGTGGCGTTGGGGATAGACCGACACTACACAGCGTTCCGCAGTTTGTACTTTAACCAAATGGCGTACTGACTCAGTACGTGTGCATGCATGCGCTGTCTTTACAGACGTAATAGCAAGGCCAGGTTTTTCCGTGGGAAGCGTAGATTGTGGGTGGCAGTGCGGGGCGAGTTGAAAATGGGTGTGTCCACAGTGGGAGCCTTCGTAAATCGGAACGGTTAGCATGAGGCCTTTTTTTGTTTGTTCTTGCATTGGATATGGTTTGTTTTTGTTATTTTTCAATCAAACCTTGGGAGTTTGAATACATTGTTGCTCTAAAAGTTTGAATATATATATTTATATATTTTGTTTACATCTGTCCATGTAATGACAGTGGCACTATGATCTATTCTTGGTAGATGATATTTTCTCAAAACTGTATTTATCAATCTAGAGAGTCATTGAGATTAATCAATAAAGTTCTGAAATGTATAAAATATCTTTATCAGGAATAAACCATACTGTCAAAATCAATCATGAAAACTGGTATGAAACGAATAAAGCTACAATATAGGCATCAGCTTATAATCACAGAAGAATTATGAATGAAAACGTATCGCGTAAACTGAGATCCTCTCATATGTATAAATTACTTTGGATTTCTGGAATAGAAAAGTAAACGTCATTGGAAACATTGAGTCTCGGGTCCCTTCTTATAAAGCGGACCCTAAGACAAAAAAATTAAATCATATAACGGTTCCACCTATGTATCTTAACTTTCACCAAGAAACATCCCACCATCTTCTAGTTTTAATGTCATTCTCCTGTGTTTAGGCAGGCCCTCGCCTGGAGGTGTCCGGTAAAATAACCGGGTTTTCATATGTCAGTATAAATCTGGTGTGCCTGTTGAACCAAATCAGCCCCCGAGGGAGTTTTCGGATCACTTCCGCTTTGCAATAGTCGCTTACTAAGTAGGCCTACATGAAATTAATTTTGACATAGAATTATCAATATAATCATATTATAGATTCAGCATGCAACACGTAGTCATTTTGGATGTTGTCATTTTACAGGTATTTGAAGAATTAAAAGAACTATTCGAATAGAATAAATAAAATCAACGAATAAATGATGTCTGGTTCCATGTTATCTAAACTTTTCCTTTTCTCTAGTCTGTCCAGTATTGAATTGATGTGTGTGGGTGTGTGTGTTCGTGTGTGTGTGTGTGTGTGTTCGTGTGTGTGTTTGGGATTTGATGCCAGTAAATTGTAAAAGTGATCCATTTGTATAGGCCTAATGCAACACGTCGTTATTTGCGGAAGTTCATTTTTACGAAAACTCATGAATTCGAAGGTTCGTATTTTTGAAAATGTGAGAGGGTTCAACAATTTGAAAATTTGTTGATTTATTCTGAAGGGTCATTTCATCTAAAGGTTTATAACGCCCAAAACGAAATAAAGTTTATAATTCATAACAAATGTCTATCGGCCTACATAATTCAAACGGAAGCTGAAATTTGTAAGCTATTCTTCTAACTCCGTACCGCAATTTCTTGTCTTAAATCAAATCAATAGTAGGCCGATGAATGGAAAATATTTGGAGCAATTCATCACGGGATAACGGAACGGAGATCATACCTACCGTGTAGCAACCTGGACGAAACCACCAACTATTAGAGGACCCAGAGCGCTGTATACACATTCATCAATTAGTACACAGATGCATTCGTTCTGACAAAATGTCCTCTCTTTCACAAGTGGTGGGCTAGTGTACACCATCTATTATGATTCATAAATTCCATATTTAATTTCTTTTCAAAAGAGAGAGATTCCTTCTTTTGTATCTCTCATTTGGGGCTACACCTATCCTTTGTTGGTGTTCACCGAGCCTTGATTTCGTTGAACCTCTGGTGACTATATCCCGGTCCTGTTATTCCTGCATTGGGAGTTCGCACGGCACATTAATACCTGGGGGTGTTTCACAAAGATCCCAAGTCGAACTTAACTCTAAAGTTGGATTTAGATATTATGGAGAGCCATTGGTAGCCTTAAAATAAAATATATTCAAAAGCGAAAATTCAAGCATTTTAGACTTTTTATAAATTCCACATCAAGAACATGAAATCTCCTTGATAATAGAAAATATGAATGATTCGAATCAACATTTTATGCCTTTTAAAATAACTTTTACAAAATACTTTCATAGATGATAATGGCTTTCCATAAATTTTGAGTTCAATTCAGAGATAAGTTCAACTTAGGATCTTTGTGAAACACCCCCCTGGTTCGTTATTGTTGGTCTTAACGACCGATGTGAGTAGACAAACACTACCTTGTGAGGAATATTCCCAAGATAGAGATAGTGATACAAAGTTTCAGACAGTGCTTTGAAAGAGAAAACACACATGAGACGTTTCTGTACTCCCGCGCGCAATGACATAATAGACCAGTTCGTAGTTAGCACATGGTGGTTCAGATGACCCCAAAAAGCCACAGTTCTTTTAAACATAGATAAATCCTACGTTGTGCCTTTTGGAATAATCACAGCTAAAGTCATGGAGGTGATTTTTTTGTGCCCCCTTAAAAGTATTACTTCCACCTGTGTTCAATAGAATGTATCACAGGTGCATGCATGAATAATTATTACATAACTTTCTTGAGCATGTACCTAGTATTAGTCTCAGTGGGTTTTACACTTTGGTTCAAGTAACCTTGATCTGCGCATGCTCAGATTGTATCTACGAACTGGTCTATTAAAACACGGCTAGAGAGCACAACATGACACCGACAGTGTTGTACTATATAGCTAATCTGCTGAATAGTTGTCAGAAGGCCTATGAGACCGACACAAGACCGACAGACTTCTGACATCTTCTTTAGGGTTCACTAAAATGACAATAGGGACTTTTAGATTTGCACGACGGAGAACGTGGACTGCCCTTTTAAGGCAATGTGACGTCACGGCCAGTGCCTTAAAATGACGTCACATTGCCTTAAAAGGGCAGTCCACGTTCTCCGTCGTGCAAATGACATGCATCCTATTGGTACATGTACGTCAACCCATTTGACCTAAGACACATCGGTACAAGCTCCATTCGTTATCATCCATCTCTTTTTTTTTAGGGGGGGGGGATACAGGAAAGGCCTTTTTAAAATCAGACGTGGAACCTTTGCAACATTTTAACTGGCTTTTGCTGGGGGGGGGGGGTAATACCACTTGCAAGGTCCTTGGGAAGAACAGCATTGAAGCTGATAAGGCATCCCCTGGTAAACAAAATTATTGATATTAGTTCTCCGGGGATTATTATCTGTAGGGGTAGCTTTCCGGTGATGTTAGAGTAGGAAGGTAATTGTCAGACAATAGTCTAGACAAATATTATTTCGTCTATCTTCCCTTATTATGCCTTAATCGGTCTCATGGGCGTTAGTCTCATAGGCTGTAGGTCTCGTTCACCATTTTGAACTTTCTTCTGTTCTTTGTGTTTTATGTATTGTCTTTATTTTGTCGGTGAACCTATCGTCAATAAAACCGTTTCAGTCTCCTGGGTCGTCGGGCTCGTTTACCTTTCGAACTTTCTTCTTTTCTATGTTACCAAGTGTATCTTCTCTGTCACATCTTGTTTTGTTTGCCAAGTTAACCGTGCGTCATAATCGGTCTCCCGGTCTTTCGGTCTATTGGGATGACCCCTTAAAAATATGACATTTCGAATTGGTTTCGTCAACTAAATACTATCTCATGCACTTCATTAAACAACCTTGACCGCGGGAGTAAAATAATTTACGAACCCAATTCACCACGCCCCTCGATTTAAAGAGAAATGTGAGTCATTGGCCCTGTTTCATAAAACTAGTTATCGATGGCAAGTTACAATAGTTATTATAAGATACTGAAATAACAGCATTTGATTGGCTTAGAGCAGATTTGTCATTAAATTTTGAAATTTGTATCTATATCACGTTTTATGAAACAGTGCCCTGATCGTGCGATTGCATAGAGAATGAAACTATCTATAATTTGGGAAAGTTAGAATCATTAGAATGATATTAAAATGACTATAGTTATACATGCTTGAAGTCGTATAAAGTTGATAAGCGCACTGCACACAGATTTGAGTATGTGGGGCTCTACATCCACTTGGCATCGAAATCTGGTCCAAATATTTCTACAATTTCTAGCTTTCGACTTATTGTATCGTATTGTATTGGTTTAATGAGATGAAAATCATCGAGCATGCAGCTGATAGCTGAAATTGTTCAATTTACAAAGTAAAAAGTACATGGTATAATATTAAATTGACAACACGTAGAAAGGTAAAGAGAACTAAGAATATATTGTGTATATTTAAATATGATTTACAAGTCTCATTGATAATAACAAATTGGCATTTGTTTTGAATGAAATAGAAATTTGATAATTAAAAGTTTACAGGTTAATTGCACAATTGACACGCAGGTGAAATATAGATTAGATTTTTACACAGATAAAGTACAATAACAGATAAAAGATTAAAGCTAAGTTTCAATATTGGTTAAACAAGGTGATGTTCCCGAACTCAAAGAAATTGGCAAATGAATCTTACCTCAGAAATCACAAAGTGAAGAAACCTTGAATGCAATCAATATATTGATGATAACGTTGTAATGATAACATGGACAAGATGTTTTAATTTCATTTGAGATTTTTATACGTACTCTTCCACATGCATCGAGATTTTAAAAAAAAGAAAAAAGAAAGCGTGTAAATTATTTTTCACTTTTACCACGCCTTAACCTTCTCTATAAACGATAACCAAAAGCGAGAGGAGTGACATATAAAAAGCGTCATTGAATATTGAATAGAAGTTATACAATGTACGATACGTCATGGAGTTTGTACTTCAATAGTGTTTAACTTTTGGGCGGGCATGCTGCAGATCTATTTTTAGCATCGGCAGCAACTTACAGTCCCACAAGTTGTATTTACATTAGGAAGTTTGCATTGTAATATTTCATTTGAGGTCGCATCAATTGACAATGTCACCGTTTCGTCATTCTTTGACGTACGAGGTTGCCAATTTGATAACCATTCATAATAGCGATTTATGAAAAAGTACTTCGCAAAAAATCCTTAACTATGCCTTTTGGGGTCAAACTTTGATAATCCTATGTGTGATTCGGCAGTCAATTTAATGACGCAAGTATGCTACAATGTCTGACTACTTGTAGTTTTTATTCTTGATGAAAAGTACATCTCTGAAAATACTGTCATCGTCAAACTGGCAACTTATGAATATTTAATATCCAGTATGAATTCGTACTTCCTCGAGTTGATCATATCCTTCTTCTCTGTGACGCCGTATGCACTGAACATCTCACGCTGCTGGAGCATACCAACTTATTCTTTGTAAGTATTTCAAAAGTTGTTTTCTGTGTTTAGATATGTTTGAAATCTGTTTTCCCCATGTGTTCAAGTTGATGTCATGTACATTGATATTCAGTCGCTTTATTTAAAGTTTTATTATAATGCAATCATGAATTGAACTGGTGGCAGATTAAAAAATACATGCATATGCCATACAATTTATCTCAAAAGAGTCAGGAAAATGAAATCAAACCGAGTGGAAATAAGCAGAGGGCCAAAGTTTAATATCATGCTTTTTTAGTTGCCCACTACTCCCACACAAACTAAGCACACCTTGTTAATTCGAAACAATGCTATTTTTGATGACTTTGATAACTTTGATGATCCTATATGTGTTTGATTCTTCAGTCAATTTATACCTGCTTACGTGTATATATATATATATATATATATATATATGAGTAGGGGACTGACTTGCACCAGTCACAACTGACTGGTCCCCGAATTATACACTCCCCTCCTCCCTGTGTGATTGGTTTTATACGTGGATGTGTGTGGTGATTTATCAGTGTTGTACAATGTGTAACCTTAGAATGCTTGTCTTACTTTTCATTCATGTACACAGTTTAGTTATAATAATGTACTGAGGGAACTTTTCAACCCACAAGCTTCTGCTTTGTTTAGTTTCCCCTTTTCCCTTATCTATTATGTTACTGTCTGTACCTGATTTGCACTTGTAATTGTATTTGATGTAAAACTTTTGATGATTTGGAAAAGATAAAACAATCGAATTGAATTGGAATTGAAAGATTTTTTCATAATTCACAATATTTCAGAGGTGCTTTTTATAATTGTTGCGGTCACTCCGAGATCGTAGGAGTGGTCCAAAAAAGCGGCCCTTTTGATGAAAAGTAGTATTTTGTAAATAATATTTTTTGAAAACCTCAAACCACTATTAGTTTGGTGTCTTATGAAAGAAAATTAAATCATCTACATGTTTATACAATTTTTTTGTTTTCTTGGGGCAACTGCCAATGCCCGCATTTACTGAAACATCACAGAGTATAGAATTATTTACCAATTGTACTCAACACTTCTTATCCCTTGAACTGTCTGCACTACTAAATGTCCAATCACTATCGTCCAGTAACTATACCAACAAATTGGCTAAAATTAGGGGGAATCCCACATTTTCGGCTAAAAAATAATGTTTTATACACTTCATAACTCAATGAAATCGATATTAGCTTGAATGTATATTGATTATCCATCATATGACACCAGACTCATTGTGATAAGAGGTTTTAGTCTAAAGTTTTCTATAAAACTTAAACATACAAAACACGTCCTATATGCACTAATAACCGTTACTATATGCATACACATGTGGGCAAAAATTTCGTTTTTGTAGAAGTCAGTAACTTTGGGTTGCTATAACTTTTCAGTGAACAGAGATATAAATCTGGTTTCCTTTGCACAATATATTGTCCTTGTATGTAGGCAAATTCTTGGAAATCTACAACTAAAGACACCCCTCCGAAATTGATATCAATTTCATCGATTTATTTAGTGTTTAGAATAAAGGAGGTAATGAATAAACAGTGGAATCATAGAGACGAAGACTTTGAAAAACCTATTATTTGGCGAACTGTCTTGACTCCGTACTCGGCAGAGGAATTGAAATCCACTCTTTGTAGGAGTCATCTTTAATTGATCACTCTCTTGGGGGTTGAATCTGCTCCAAACAAGTGACTAAATAAATCCTTCAAGAGTAGTTTCCACGATTTCTCGAGTGAATTTTAGTCCAGTTCAATTCAGTTTAGTCTTTATTCATTCTCCAATAAATTGCAAAAAAGTCAAAAATACATGTACAATAAATTAACAACTAAATTATTCATACCCTTACCAAGTTTTTCTAATTTTCTAAGAATGTGAAATTTTGATTTGTCCTAATTTATGTTTCTTTAGAATGTGACTTATTGAAGGTTACATCTAAAAGTAATCAACAAAGATCCGTATTCAACCAATCCATCTTTCTTTCTTCAGTTACAAAAAAACATTACGAAATGTACACAAAATTTCAAGCAATACGATAATTGGTACATTCCATAAATTCATACAACCAGGAAGGTCAACATGGACATTAATAAAGAGGCTTATGAGGCTTGACAAATTGAAGAATTTTAAATTGATAACAAACTAAAATACCATTATTAAAAAGACAGGCGTTATGCACATAAATGTAATCATTCAAACATCTGGCGAACGATAACAAACTATTGTTAAGAAAGTAATGAGTATAACTTGATCATTTTCTTGATTGAATGCAGAAATTGGAATTCTCTTAAAGGACAAGTCCACTCCAAAAATAACTTACTTTCAATAGAAGCACAAACTGATAACCAAATTGGCAATTTGTTTAGTGATTTTCATTGTTCCTTAGTTTTACGTACTTTTTTTCAAAAAATCATTACTTTCTTATAAATTATCCGATTTTGCTCAATTTTTTTTTGATTGGTTTGTCTGATTTTTCTTCTTCTATTGAAAGTAAGTCATTTGTGGAGTGGACTTGTAATTTTATTCGGGAGGACAAAGAATTGCATACTAGGTTATCCCAAATACTACTCCCGAAGTATTGGTTTCAATGTATGGACATACAGAAAGCATCTCTTCGAATGGAGCAGCGTTAGCATTCTAGGAGTGGCCCTCAAAAGTTACCGAACAAACAATAATCATTGCAAAGTCAATAATAGGTAGGAATGCTGCTTGAATTGAGTTTGCATTTGCTCAAGTGGTTTGTTCATCTTTTGTCGTCTGAAAGCCGTGACCTTTTCGTTATTAAGAATATCGTAATTTTTTTAGAAAGGGAAGGAATAATACGACATGACAATGGGAGGCCAGTCAATACTATCGTGCGGAGATATTTTAGAGTTTTCTTTTAACCTGATGGAGATAATTGTACATTTATTACCATATGTTGTTGTTGTTTTTTGATTGGGTTTTTAAACCAAATCAGTAACAATTTACTATTTATGCAAAAAGAATTACGTGGGGCTCGTCCGGGAGTCGAACCCGGGACCTCTCGCACCCTAAGCGAGAATCATGCCACTAGACCAACGAACCTTGACTCATGATATATCTCCATAGTAAGATAATATGAATGTGTTTACATATTTCAACAGTAATGTTTATCTCAGGAATTGCTTTACCTCGAGAATGCATACATTAATTACTGCCATCTCGGTTAAATCCCTAATACGCCTATTAGATGTAAAAAGAAAATTTTGTTCCAATAATGTGCATAAAGATAGTAAACAGGGGGGGTGTTTCACAAAGATCCTAAGTTAAACTCATCTCTAAGTTGGACTTAACAATTATTATGGAAAGCCGTTAGAATCTTTGAAAATATTGTTATAACAGTTATTTTAAAAGGAATAAAATGTTGATTCAAATCATTCAGATTTTCTATCATGAAGGAGATGTCATGTTCTTGATGTGGAATTTATAAAAGTCTAAAATACTTGAATTTTTGCTTTGGAATATATTTTATTTTAAAGTTAAAAATGGCTCTCCATGATGTTTGGTCTAACTTAGTGTTAATTTTGACTTAGAATCTTTGTGAAACACCCCCAGGTCTATTACAGCCCAACTTCTAACTCTATATCTTGGAGGAAATTAAACTCTTTCAGACAATTGCCGCCGTACCATGATCGGACAACAGAAACGTATTACAGTTATTTCAGTTTCAGTTTCAGTTTCAGTTTCAGTTTTATATTTCATTTCCAACAGAACAGTAATTTTGACAAGAAACCAGAGATACAATTCAGTATTCAAGATTATAATACAGTTTAATGTTATAAAATAGAAAGTATCCATAAATGTCCAGTATAATAGTTTAAAAAAAAAATTGTTTTAAGATAAACCTGTGGAAATGGAGGGGTCCACTAAAAAGCAGAGCTTGTAAAATGTGGATCCCTCAAAATAATGACAAAGTAACATAATTTTTGTAACATGTAAATATATTGACTTGAAAAAAATAAAAACATAATCATAACAGTTGACTGAACGGGGGGGGGGGGGTCCATAACCCTCATGTATAATGGCTATATTTGTGGGGACTAATATGTTGTTTAATTAACGTGATGTATCTTTTTATCTATCCGTCATCCTCAGATTCTTTCCTGAAAATACAAGACGCCACCAACGATGGGATTTCGCAGACGATTCATCGGCTTCACCGGGGCCGTTCAGATATTGCTCACTCTCGCCATGCTCATTATGGCGTCTTACATATCGTTCCTCGCCACCGTCATTAACAACGCTGTTGGTTCCCCACTGTGGGGAGGAATCATTGTGAGTGTTATGAATGAAAGAGAAAGTTCAGTTCTAGCTGGGGAATCAAATATTCATGAGCTTTCTCATATGCCTCGTGTTGGCAAAATATCGTGATAGAAATTACCCCTGGAAAAGTTTACTCTTATGACGCCATTATTTTAAAAATATGACAAAAGATAAATGAACAAATTTGAGTGAAAATTTGTGTATAGTCTCATTTACTAATTTCTGTGTGCAGTGCATCCTTGTCAAGATGGAGTCAATTTTATTTTCATTATGATCATTCCAAAACTCCACTGTATTGATACACATCAATACTTCATATTATCAGGTGTCGTGGTATATTACAAAACACGAGCAGGTTTGTCATGGCAGTGCCAATTTAGAACCGATAGGACTCGGTAACCTGGCATGCTCCTATTTTATCTTTAAAACAAAATATATAATTATTTATAGTTTTTTAAAAAAATACCCCAAAACAAGAAAGAAGTCACTTGTATTATAACACATGTAACATTTTTTTTTTCTTCAATTGTTGTTGATAAAAGTCAAATTTGACTGATTGCCATAACACACTAATCAACAAGAAAAACAAGTGATTTATTCACTTGACTCTTAAACCCATGGATTGAGGTTTTGGGATTCCGTGATATAATGTTTAAATCCCGTCTTTTATCATTATATTCAATCTCAAAATTAAATGACGTAACGATCAGTAAATGCATTTTTTAATAAATTTCCCCTCCCCTTCCCTTTTCCTTTCCATTTTTCCTTTTGTATTGGGGTTCAGGTTTTCTCTGCTTTTCTTTTCCTTTCTTTTCTCTCAACAATACAGTGTATACTTTTTAGGGGGTTGACGTTCATAAGGCTAATCGCCCTTTTTGTTAACCCCACATTCCCATTGAAAAAAAGATATATATATATATATACAATGTTACACGGGGAGATTACTTATTTGGCATAAACACATCTAATTGTTGTAATTTTTCTGTCTGATAGATATTGATGTGCGGTGCTGGTAACATTATAGATGCACTGGAGTCACCTTCGAAAAAGAGGTCAACACAAGAATACCACATGTTACCCGTAAGTATACCAACAGTTTTTAGGCTTTGATCATGTAAAGGGGAGGAGGGGGAAGAGAGAGGTCAGTGTGTGTGTGTTAGGGGGGGGGGGGGGGTAGAGGGGTACTTGGCCCTCAATGGGTCATACTGCACTGTTGGTCATAAAAATGGAATATGTGGTTTTACCCTAATTTATGGAATGATTTTGACAATGTTTTATTACTAATAGATCTAGATAATAGTATACATTCTCAGATTTTATTGTATAATAATTTGCGAGTGTTTGTTTTGCCTGACTGCTAAAACATGTATATGCTACTATGCTTATAAACTACTAAGTCATAACTAACAGTTATGAGGATCAATGCCTCACAAATGAGCACTAATATAGCAAATCGACACTGGCTTTTTTTTTCATGGGGCCTTACAGCTAAAAATAATAATAATAAAAACGTTACTTATGAAGCGCTTACCACCGAAGTCTCTAAGCGCTAGTTACGAGGCAATTTCTTTGCCATTGAATCGTGACTGTACGCAGCGGGAGCTAGGGTAGGGGGCACCCCCACAAATACAAATATACAAAGAAAATGCAATAAATTATCAATAATTCAGTGCATTCTTCCTGGTCCGCAACAGAAAAAAAAAATGTGTGGCCATGCCTTGAGCCATAATGCGTCATAGTACCCTTAAATCCATTAGTGAAAAAAAAAACAGTCAAATCAAAGCAAAAACAGAAAACGATTACAAATTCTCTTCTCGCAGCTCAACTTCGGTACGCTCCTCGCCAACCTGATTGCTTTTTTCGTCTCCGCCACCATCATCGGTCTCTTCTCGTGGTCGGTGAGCACGGTTATCAATGCATTGGTCGTCCCTTCCTCCGCCATCATCCTCGCCGCCAGCTTCATCTGTATCTTCTCCTTCTTTGCTCTATGTGCTGACTGCTGCCAATTCTGCTTCACACCCCCTCCGCATCAACAGGTAAATAACCCATTGCCTATTGGAACCTGGTGGCGTATGTATTAAGCCTATGGTAATGAATGAGGTCAGGAGTCAACGGGTTAAGACACAATCGAACTGACTTTCGAGAAATCATAGGCAACAAAAGGTCAACTTTCATTATGTAATCAAATTTGTATGCGTTAATCTAAACGTAACATTTTTTTTTAATACAGATAAGTGTATTTTAAAGCCTCACTGCACTACTTGTAGCTACTTGCGCCCTAGTTCTATATAGAAAACAATGCCTAACCGGTGCCTATTGGTCCCCCATAATCCCCCTTTTCTTATGTTAATTGAGAGCTGAGTTGATGAGATAACCATCTGCCAGTGACCACGCAGGGAGGTCTAATCCCCTTGGTCAAACTAGTGCAGAAGGGATTTAAGACAATATCGAATAGATTTTCGAGAAATCAAAGGACAACAGATCCATTTTCATTGTGTAATCAATTTCAACGCGTGAATCTTAATGTTATAAATTATTTCCTTCACAAGTTACAAATATATAACTCTATTTTAATAGTCAGAATGCGATTTGCATATATTATATGTTGCTATGTAGGACAAGCCATAGTATTTTTCTTACCTAGCAACATTGTTGTACAGCGGGTCTTTATGGTGACTTAAAGTGCAATACACTTCATCGTTATATGGGCGAAACACCTTAACCAAGGATGTATATAAAGCAGGGTCAGGATTGAACCCAGAACATTTCGTATGAGAGTCTTCACTATTATACCACAGTAATCCAGCAATTTGCAATAAGCCTTATTCTTTTGTTTTAATTTCGTAAAATATCTAGTAACCACTTCTTTTTCATTTTCTTTTCCCGCATCTTTACAGAGACCTTACTATGTGGACTATGATGGGCCTCCTCGTGGTATCCCAAACCAGGTGTTCAAGGCCTAATCTTACATCAAATTGGCAACGTCAACATGCAGAGACCCAGAAGGGTCGTGCTAGCTGTATTCAGTTCATTGACAATATAGCTAACTCTTAATATGATTTGTGTATATGTGCTCCCGTTATCATTTATCAGTCCCCCGTTATCTATTCGAAATACAAGGCAGAAGAGGGTATAAAGGGACTCACCCCATTTAGACAAACAGCCTGTGAGATCTACAATACAAAGAAATATATCAGGGAAGCGGGAAAACATTAATAACAATTACATATAACATATTTTACACTGACATAAAATATGCTTTCATAATACGGCTAGAAAATAAGGTATTTAAAAAAAAAACGATCTAAACTCATCCAAACTCTCTCATTTGTTCTATTTTTCTTGTGCGCCTCGGAATAGAATTTTGTAGATAGACGGCGATATATTAATGCCTATTATTATTATCATCTAGACTTTGATTTTATGTGTTATGAAAACCATGCCAAAATGTCGCAGAGCATTATATAGGAATTATGACTGTCATAGCACAGTTAGGACATCGTAGCAGTGCAAATATAAATATCGCATGCCTTATCAACCTAGGAAAAGTATTACGAAACTTGTACAGAAAATGAAAATAACCTATTTATTATATTTTAGTAAGTTGGAATGTAGATGCGCTATTAATTGTTGCTTTAATATTTTAGTTACTTTATGTCTATTTACATGGTAAGCCCCTTCAGACTATGGTAAACAAAACTAAATAATGTTGCGATGTTACAAATATCGCGATGGTGTAAATGAGCCTGACGAAGAATTTCTCGTGTTATTTTTCCTCGTATTTACACATAATGGGGGCATTTTCTGAATACTATACCACCGGAATAAGACAGAAACAGCCGATAGAAAAAAGTTATACGACATGTTGTACAAATTAGGTATTTTTTTTATTGGCTTTAATGCTGATCTTTTCAGAACCCTATTTTGTTGTGTTAAAACTGGTGGGGGCCGTTCTCAAAAGAAAAATATTAGAAAAGAAAGACAATATACGTTCAATTTCTCAAAGTGTTTAAATCTTGTAAATATTCTAAAGAAAGTTTCAAACAAAATTGCTTATGTACTTTGACTCGTATAATTTTTAATACAATGATAAGTACTTGTTTATTTTGTAGTCGATACAAATTATATCGTACATTATCCACAGCAGAGTGTACCTATAGTTTATATTTAGTTATAACTTATAAAAAGTATTACAATTTGATTTTTTTTTAATGGTACATGCTAATGAAAAATTAAATAAAATTCCATATGTGTCCCATTATAAAATGTGTAATACATTTCAAACAGTTTATCAATGAGTTATTATATAAGCCGAAGAAAGAGATTTTGATAGAGAAAGGCAAAGGGAAATAACAGCGAGAGAGAGAGAGAGAGAGAGAGAAGGTGAGAGAAAGAGGGAGACACAAAGAGAGATAAAGGAGCGGGAAATAGAGAAAAGATAGAGAAAGATAGGCAGAGGTACGAGCAGATAGAGGGAGACAGACATAGACAGAGACAGAGAACCTGCATGATAGAGAGAGAGAGAGAGAGAGAGAGAGAGAGGGGGGGTATTTATATATATGAGATAGAGAAGATAAGATATATAAATACTTGTACATTTATTATAATGAGAGCGAGAGTCAGAAAATACGAGAGCGAGAGAGAGAGAGAGAGGAATATTAAAGAGGGAGGGAGAGAAAGAGAGAAATAGGGGAGATATATATTTATATATAATGAGAAAGAGAAGATAAGATATATTTATAATAATAATAATAATATTTAGCTTTTATATAGCGCTTAATATAAATGTCTCTAAGCGCTTTACACATTTACTATTACCCCGGTCATTGGATTCAGTGCTTGCCCGCATACACTGTGTGCACAATCTCCACTCCCTGGGGAGCATTATATATAATGGCAGAGAGAGAGAAAGAGAAAGTGAAGAGTGAGGGAAAAAGAGTAAAAGGATGCAGTCACTGATGAGAATATAATTGTATATAAATACAAGATGTTGTACATTTTGTATTTATTGTTGAATTAACTAGGCTGGTAAGCATGCCAAAAAGTTCCATAGATACTTTTCCCTCAATCGCAGAATACAGGTCTGGAAACTTATTTTTATAAACACCCTTGTACTACCTCATTTCAAATCCCTCTAATACTTTTATGAAGTCGCTTAATCATTGATCAAATAGAACTTGTTGAAATCAATGTGACAAGATGGACTGGTTCCTTGGCATGTCGCGTGTTGAGCGTGGATTATTCAGTGGTGGTGCACCGACACCCCCCCCCCCCCCCCCGCGACGATAGACCGCTTTAAGTCGCGTCCACACCAGCGAAGGTAGGTCTATTTACACCCGGTCGTAACTTCCATCCGACGTAAGGCCGGAGGTAAGTGGCGGTGTGAACGTGTATCGGAGGTAAGTTTCACCCGGTCCAATCGGAGGTAAGTCCGACTATTTATGCAGGCGAAAAGGCATGAGTATGTTTAGTTACAAAAATGGTAAACCCTCCCTCTCCAATTTTCTTATAGCCCCATAATTTCGTGACTTCATGATTTCATGATTTCAGGTATTTCTTGATTGAAGCGAGGAACATGTAACAAAACAAAAGCAAGAACCTCAAAGCCTCAGCCCCAGCCTCAGCCCCAGCCCCAGCCCCAGCCCCAGCCCCAGCCCCAACCCCACAATAAATTGTATTGTTGACCTACCTCTGCCCACATCTATCATCAGGGTGTGGTCTTATGTTCTAGTAATTGTTTGTTTGATTGATTTTATTTCTGCGTTAAAATAAAAAGTTCTAGTAATAGATACCTCAACGCAATCTTGTGTTCATGAATAGGTCGGTCCTTGAGGGCTAATGAGCCGTCAAAAGTGCTACCTGGCGTCAAAGTATCTTTCAGAACAGTTTGAATTGTAATATTTCATCCAAGGTCACATTCATCAGGCGCGTAGCCAGGGGGGGCGGTGGGGGCGGTCGCCCCCCCCCAAAACGCCGGCCAAAAAAAAAAGAGAGAGAAAGAGAAGAAAAAAAAGAAAGAGGACGTAGGAAGAAAAAGGGAAAAGGAGTCGAGAACGGTACGATGAATCGTCAAAGCTTCCGCGCTTCGCGCGGGAAGGGGGAAATTAAGAAATATGAGTCGGGAAAGGTAAAACGAATCGTCTTCTTTCTCTAATAATTTAATGAAACGTCAAAGCTTCGCGCGAGAGGGGGGGGGGGGAACAGAATTCAGACAAGGATTAAGAGTCGAGAGAGGTACAACGAATCGTCTTCTTTCTCTAATAATTTAATGAAACGTCAAAGCTTCGCGCGAAAGATGGGAGGGACTGAATTCAGACAAGGATTCATGAGTCGAGAAAGGTACAACGAATCGTCTTCTTTCAAAGCTTCCGCGCTTCGCGCGGGAGGGGGGAAACTCCCCCCTCCCTGCACCCACCCCCCTAGGGAGTGCGCTTCGCGCGCTCTTTAAGTGATTCGCACGCTTCGCGTGCTCACTACCGCCCCCCCTAAAATGAAATCCTGGCTACGCGCTTGACATTCATGTCAATGTCACCTTTTCTTTGACGTATGAGGTTGCCAATTTGATAACCATTCATTTCTACCTTTAACGATTTATGTAAAATTACTTCAAAAAGAAATTCTTTAACAATTCTTTTGGGTCAAACTTTGATAATCCTATGTGTGAATCGGCAGTCAATCTCATGAGGTAAGCTTGCTACAATGTATGACTACTTGTAGTTTTAATTTTGATGGAAAGTACATCTCTGAAAATACTACCATCGTAAAATTGGCACGTTGTGAATATTAACTATCCAGTTTACATTTGTACTTCCTCGAGTCGGTCATATCTTTCTTTTCTGTGACGCCGTATGCACTGAACATCTCACGCTGCTGGAGCATATCAAATTATTCTCTGTAAGTATTTCAAAATAATTTTTCTTGTTTAGATCTGTTTAAAATCTGTTTCTACTCAGATATTCATTCAGGCTAATCTCATGCACACTGATATTTAGTCTCTTTATGCAAAGTTTGATTATTATGCAATCATGAATTGAATAGGTGACATAATAAAATTGCATTTGTCATAAAATGTATTAAGAAAATAGAAAAGAAATTGAAATCAAACCGAGAAGAACAATTCAGTATATCCTGTAGACAGACTGCTATGAGGCAAGATACAGTTACATTTTATTAATGTCCCACACGTATACATAACTTCAGCTGATTGTAAAGGTACTGTGACTAGTGGATAAGTCACTGACTACGGATCACAAGATACGAGGTTCGAATCCCTGCCACAGAACGTCCTTATTATGTCGCCTACATATACAGTGAAACCTGTATATAAAGACCAACCAAGGGAGACAAGAAAAGTTGTCTTTATATGCAGGTGGTCTTTATGTACAGGTTTCTTTAGTACATGTTTCAATGCGAAAATATTTTCGAGGGAAACAAAAAATGTGATCTTTGTAGACAGGTGCTGTTTCTTTACATGTTGTCACTAAAACAGGTTTGACTATATATATATATATATATATATATAAGTTTGCCCAATTATTGTCATTATTCTTGTTATTATTATCATTATAATAATTGTTATAATCATAGATGACTTTGATTTGACATTGGTTTGTCCTCACTGAGTACCTTATTGTCTGTTTTTATATAATAGCCCATTGAAACCGGTCTTCTTTCCATGGTGTTGCTTGGGGATTTCTGATATAGCAACTGCTTAAAATCTTAATGAATCTTGTGAGTGGGCATTGTACAAAAATATGCAATGCTATTGTGAACAGGTGGTCAGTTGATGGGAAGGGACATACCAATGTCTTTTGTTCATCTAGCTGACTGATGAATGAATGGCATGATGATGTCACAGAAGTCATTTGCTTTTGGTGGGTTATTTTTTAGGGATGGAGCGTAGCAGATAGAAAAAAAGTAATATAAGAAATTATGTAAAATATAAATCATATATCAAAAAGTCAAAAGATATGTGATGTATACATTATTACAGATCAACGAAATTCAACATGAATTTGTAATTTAGTCACCCTTCAAGTAGAATGTGAGGAATCTATTGAAAAGCAGTGCTTGTATATTATAGGTTCAAGCCGATACTTTTAAGCAGCATCTATTATAGGTTCCTTTCAATAGGCATTAGAGACTTCTAGATTACATGGACTTCTACGTGTGCCTTAAAAGGACGTCACACGTAGCAGTCCACGTTCTAAATCTTGATTATTTCTTGTTTGTTTTAAATATGTCATTTGATGTACCATTATCATTTGTATGTTCATTCGATGTATTTACATTGTTTCACACGGCCCCAATGGAAATCAGTCTTGTAACTGTTTGGGCTTTTTTTTAACCGTGTATGAATAAAGATATCAATTCAATTCAATTCACGTTAATGTCGTCTTGCAAATTTAAAAGTCCCTATAAGTGTAGATGTAAAGACTGTACCAGTAGAGAAAGACGTAGTTTAGAGGGACGATTTAAAGCACAGTGAAATAAGGACATTTGTATACAAGTGCATTAGGATCATGTACGTACAAAAAGCAATCAGTCAAATGAAGCAGTGTTAGTATTCTAAGAAGTGGCCTTCGGAAGTTTCAGAACAAACACTAATCCTTACAAAGTCAAAATTGAATTTGCATTCGCTCAAGCATTTCGTTCATCTTTTGTCGTCTGGCGGTAGCCGTGACGTTTCGTTCAGAATAACGATATTATTAGAATGTGATGGAATGGAAAGACATGACAATGAAAATCCAGTCGATACTATTGTGCGGAGGTATTTTAGAGTTTTCTTTTAACCCTTTCCCTCCTGGAGCCGTGTGAACCATGTATTAAGCCTACAGGAAGGAGAGAAAAATTTAGTCGTCAACAAGTTAATTAGCTCTTTTTTTTTATAAAGTGTTATGTACATTCATTTCTTTATGGAAAAATTAAAGTTATTACAGTGGACTGGAGGGGAGGGGCGGGGGGGGGGGGGGAGGGGGTCAATAACCCTCTTCTATGATGGCCATAATTATTATGGGGGGTGGGGGGGAGTAATATACGCCGTACAAACGTACAGGGAGATTCGTACGAATGATGCATTCGTTCGAACCTTTGTGACCGTAGCTTAACGTGATGTATCTTTTTGTTTATCCGTCCGTCATCCTCAGTTTCTTTCCTGAAAATACAAGACGCCACCAACGATGGGATTTCGCAGACGGTTCATCGCCTTCACCGGGGCCGTTCAGATATTGCTCACTCTCGCCATGTTCACCATGACGTCATCCCTATTGAACAACTTCGGCAACGCCGCCGTTGGGACCCCAATGTGGGGTGCACTAATTGTGAGTGTTTTGTCTGGAAGAGAAGGTTCAGTTTCTATTTTTATTTTATTTCGGTTTAAAAAGACATATAAATATATATGATTCAAAGCTCCAAGTACCAAAACTGATCATGTTTACAAGTAATACAAAAAAGTTATATATACAGTAAATATACAATAGTTTCTAGCTGAGAAAAAATAATTCATGAGCTTTCTCATATTCCTCGTATTCGAAAAATATTAATAGATTAATCTTGAATTAAAAACATTTAACAAATCCTGAAACCTTTAGTACACATCTTTCTATCCTGTGATATATACAATGTTGCATAAGGAGAGATCTAATCGTTGTCTTATTTCTGTCTGGTAGATATTGATGTGCGGTGCTGCTAATATCATACTAGCCCTGGAGACACCTTCGACAAAGAGGAATACAGAAGATAGCATTTTAGCCGTAAGTATACCAATAAGGGAGTTTACAGATAGCACATGGTACAAATGACCCCAAATATCCACAGATCTTTTACACATGGAGAAGTTCCACTTTGAGCATCTTAGAATAATAACTGCCAAAGTGCTTCATGAATACCTTTTGTTTGACTTCTTGAAAAGAATACTTCCACCTGCGTATCATAGAATGTACCGTTGGAGCATAAATGAATAATGTTACATAATTTTCATGAGCGCATATCCAGTATTCATCTCTGTGGGTTTTACAATTTTGGTACAAATGACCTTTATCTGCCCATGCGCAGATTGTATCTGTAAACTCCCTTATAGTTTACCATCACTAAGGATCGCGCCACTCGGCTTAACGCTTATAGTCGGCGAATAAAAAAAGTCAAAAGGGACTTTTAGATTCTGCACGACGAGAACGTGGACTGCCCTTTTGAGGCAATGTTACGTCCTTTTAAGGCATTGGCAGTGACGTCACATTGCCTTAAAAGGGCAGTCCGCCTTCTCGTCCTGCAGAATCTATAAGTCCCTAATAACGGGTCCAGAACTAGACTAGTTAAGTGGAGGAGGTGCATGGGTGGGAGTCGGTATGTGTGTGGGTGTGTGTGTGTGTGTGGATGTGTTTGGGGGGGGGGGGGTGGGGGTGCCCGGAGGGGTACCTAGCCCTCTATGGGTCATACTATGGGATAATACATTTGTCAACTGCGATGAATTTTCTGATAAACTCCGGAAGAGGAGGAGAAGACGAAGAAAAAAAGAAAAAGAAAAAAAAAGAAGAATAACAATAAGAAGCAGTTTTAGTAGTAGAAAAATAAAAATAAAAAAGCGAAGAAGAAAAAAAAGAGGAAGATGAAGGAGAAAAGAAGAAGTAGAAGAAGAGGAGAAAAGGAAGAAGAAGAAGAAGAAGAAGAAGAAGAAGAAGAGCGATGCGTTTTTGGTTGAAAAACTGTAGGGAGCATTATATGCGGGTATTCACGTTACTGTGTGTGTGTGTGTGTGTGTGTGTGGGTATGCATGTTTGCGTGTAGTTCAGAAGTGATAAATGACACCTGGGACAGACTTTTAACGTCACCATCCGAAAAACGTGGCTTGGTTTCGAAGCTGGTCTGTTCAGAGTCTGTTTGCAGGCAAAGACAGAAAGTTGACGTATACCGATTTCACCTTTCATTTGCCACCAGTGCCAATGTGCACTGTTGCTCGTTTACCACGTTTGCAATTCGGCTCAAAACAATAGGCTCCTGACTTGAGGATAGCTTTGTGCAAGACAATGGATTTTTTAAATTGTCTGATTAGCTACATTACGACCCTTTAACACGTAACACCTCTTGCATTGGAAACAAGTTTTATCTATCCTATGATAATTATATTCAGTATTGCACATGGAAATTGTTTGTAAAGTATGGGAGAAAAATATTAAGGGATTTGGAGGATTTGGTCTCTTTTTAAATCCTCAAGTGAGAAGAAAAAAAATCAACAAATTTCTACCAAACAAATAATTCAAATGTTATTATCGCTTTCTCACAGACAAACTTCAACTTGGGTACTGTCTTCGCAAACCTGACTGCCTTTATCGTGTCTGCCACCATCCTGGCCCTCTTCTCATGGGCGCTGTCGCTGAGCACCTCTTTTGATGCATTGGTCGTTCCCTTCTCGACCATCGTCCTCGCCGCCACCCTCATCTGTCTCTTCTCCCTCTTCGCCCTCTTTGCTGACTGCTTCTCCGCGTTTTGTGCGAGTTCCCCGAAACAGCATCACCAGGTAAATTAAAGCCCATCTGTACTAGTTTGGCCAGGGGGATTAGACCTCCCTGCAAGGTCACTGACAGGTGGTTATCTCATCAAATCAGCTCTCAATTGACATAAGAAAAAGGGGATCATGGGGACCAACAGGCACCGAGTAGGCATTGTTTGCTATATAGAGGGCGCAAGTTCCCATACGTAGTGCAGTGGGGCTTTAAAGGACAATCGAAAAGACTTTCGAGAAATCAAAAGTCAGCACGTTCATTTTCATTGTGTAATATAATTTCATGCGCAACTTTTTGTTAAGTGCCATGTTACAAATTATTTCGTTCACTCATTACGAATTATTGTATTTCAATAGCCAGAAGGCGATTTTACATATATTACGTGTTGTAAGGAAGGACAAGCCCTAATGTATGTCCTATGTAGCAACAAGTAATGTATGCAAATCTCATTCTCACTATTGAAGTACAATTATTTGTAACATGTGAATGAAATAATATGTTTTGTAAGATGGTGACGTGGATCCTAATCAAATGATTGATTGAGAGCGTACACGTGACCAGGCATTTATTTTGCCTGACACTCAATTTTGATAATGACCGGTCATTAGAAGAACCATGTTATAAAACAAATAATACACATCAGTGAGGGCATTAGTAAAAATTACCCACGCTCGGGACCTTCATAACAGTCCAAACACCAACGGCTATCGCCTCGGGCGTGTTAGACTGTTCCAACCTCGTATGGGTAATCTTACTAATGCCCTCACGGCTGTATTATTTGTATAACAGGGCAATTAATAAAGATTTATTCATTTAAAACATTACGAAAATTGTGTATTTCAATGCGGTCCCTAAAGCAATGTTGGATATGCGACGTTAAACCGCAGTGCGTTTTTTTAATGATGACGTAAAGTGTAATACACTTCATCTTTATGTGGGAGAAACACCTTGTCCGAAGATCCTCTTGTATGAGAGCCTTCACTATTATACCACAGTAATCCAGCAATTTGCAATGAGCCTTATCTTTCTATTTTGTTTTCGTAAAATATTAAGTAACCCCTTTTTTCTTCTTTTTCTTTTCTCACCAGTCGTCTCCACAGGGACCGTACGTTATGGACTATGAGGGGCCTCCTCCTCGTGGTATTCCAAACCCCGCCTTACAAAGAGTTATGATTGATCAACATCAATCCCAGTTCCTCACATCGAGCGCAGGTTTGCGTTCTCCTATGGCGCAGGTACCTAATTACTATTGATATCAATGGCAAATAAGTTGCAATTGATCCAAATCAATCGCAAGTCCGCGCATCAATCGCAAGTTTGCGTTCTCCCATCTCTTATGCACCTAATTACTATTGATATATATCGCAAATAAGTTGCGATTGATATCACCTCTTCGTAAGACGGACCCCTATGGCCTTATAATGCATCAAATTGGCAACGTCAACATACAGAGACCCAAGATGGTACTGCTAGCTGTATTCAGTTAATTAACAATACAGATAACTCTTAATATGATTTTGGTATATGGGCGGTCTCCAGTTTTCTATTCGAAATGCAAGGCGGGATAGGGGGGGGGGGGGGGGAGTGCTTATCCCTTTATACAGTCAGCCCATGAGACCGACTGATGATAAATAATTTTTTTTTTTTTTTTAAAGAGAAGGCAGAAAACATTAACAACAACAATCATACTTTACACTGACATAAAATATGCTTTCATAATACGGCTGGAAAATAGGGTATTAATAAAATAAACCATAATATCTAGACATTCATTTTATATGTTCTGAAAACTGTTATTTCAAAATGTCGCAGAGCGTTATTCGGAAATGATTCTGTAAAAATAGCGCTGTTAGGAATCTTAGCAGTGTAAATTTAAAGATTACATGCGTTATATACCTATACAAAAAGAATATTATTAAGAAACCTGTACAGAAAGAATAGAAATAAATTACTTATTTTGTTTTAGTAAGTTGGAATGTAGATGCAATACTAATGGCTGCTTTCGAGATTTAGTTAATTCTTTTCCTAGTACATGTACATGGTAAACTCCTTTACAATAGTGAAAAAACTTTTGACAATGTATTGTTACGGTAGAAATGGCTACGCAACATCGACGTATAATTATAACGATATTAAAAAAATCGCCTTTTGTAGTGTAAATAGGTCTTAGTAAGAATTTCTCTTGATATTTTTCCTCGTATCTACACATAATTAATAGGTTTTTTTTTCTCAATATATAATGACTTCATTAGTATCTAAATATCCACCGGAATAAGACTTAAACAGCATTAGAAAAAACACCAGACGTCATGATGAATAACTTGGCATTCATTCATTGCCTTTATTGCTGCTTTTTGGAACCATGTTTTATTGTGTTAAAATGGGGGACTGGTTGTTTTCAAAACACAAAGTTTAGACAAGTTTTTAATCTTGTAAATGTTTTAAAGAAATTTCCAAAAAAATGGCGCGTGTACTTTGACTTGTATACTTCTTAAGAGTATATATTCATATTTTTAGAAGATAATCATTTGTTAACTCGGTAGTCGATACGTATTATATAGTACATTATCCAAAGCAGATTGTTGTTATAGTTTGTATTCAGTTATATTTTATGAAAAGCATTACAATTTGATTATTTTTTTTAATGGTGCATGATAATGGAAGATTAAATAAAATTATATATGTGTCTTATTATGAATCGTGGTAAACTTCACGTAATAAATTTCAAACAATTTATCATTGATTTATCATATATACCGAAGAGAGAAGTTTTGATAGAGAAAGGCAAATGGAAATAGCAGCGAGAGAGAGAGAAAGAGAGAGAGAGAGAGAGGGGAGAGAGAGAAAGAGAGAGAGAGAGGGGAGAGAGAGAAAGAGAGAGAGAGAGGGGAGAGAGAGAAAGAGAGAGAGAGAGAGAGAGAGGGGGGAGAGAGAAAGAGAGTGAGAAACAAACAGATAGAGGAGCGGGAAAGTGAAACAAGATAGAGAAAGATATAAAGAGGGGTGGAGAGAGAGAGAGAGAGAAGAGAGGATGTATATATATATATATATATATATATATATATATATATATATATATATAATACGTATTTACTACAGAGAAAGAGAGGGAGAGAGAGAGAACAGTGAAGGAGAAAGAGTAGAAGGGTGCAGTCGATCACGAAGATAATATTGTTCAGTAAACACAAGATGTTGTACATGATGTATGTATTCTTAAACTAACTAGGCTAGTAAGCATGCCAAAAAGCTCCGTAAATACCTTACCCCTCTTTTGCAACATACAGGTCTGGAAAACTGTTTTCATAAACATCCTGGTACTTTAAAAGCAATCGATACCTCCAATTACTTTCCTCGTATACTTTCATGAATCCACTGATATAATTCAGATAAGTTGATTGTTCATTGAACAAATAGGAGTTGCTGAAATCAATGTTACAAGCATGACTGAATCCCTGGTATGTTTGTGGACAGTGGGTTCAATCCGTTTGTTAGTTCTTTTTAGATTCGCGACAATTATTGCTCCGTGCTTCATTTCAGCAAAGGTACAAGGGTAGGTTATTGTTACAGCTCGGTGTTAGGTTAGGACCCTGGTTAGGAGTAGGGTAAGGATTGTGGTAAGTATTGGGTCCATTAGTGGTGGAAATTTCCGCCGATATAAGTACCGGCGCATTATGTGTCGTACATAATCTGAGGGTCATATTATACGATTTTTTTTTTGACAAGTAGCTATCTAGTCTATTTTTGAAGAAGTTCACTGCTCAAAGAGGACCGTCCACTACCTTTTCCGGTAGCCTAGCCGGAGCCACCGCTGTCTCTGAAAACTTACACCCCTGCAGTAGCGGTTCTAGAGAGTGCTTGAACGGGGGGGGGGGGGGGCTTTAATGTTAAACCCTCCCGATAAAACGTTCTTATAGCCCCATTATTTCTTGATTATAAATGGATTTAAGTGAGAACATGTAGTCAAACCCGAGACCCTCTAAAACCCCGCCCCATTCCACAGTCAATAGGGACCTTTAGATTTGCACGACGAGAACGTGGACTGCTACGTGTGACGTCCTTCAAAGGCACTGTGACATCTTTTTAAGGCACTGTTTTAATTCCACTATGTCGACGTGCAAATCACTGCCAGTGCCTCATAAAAGGACGTCACACGTTGTAGTCCACTATGTCGACGTGCAAATCTAAAAGTCCCTAATATCGTTCTAGAACCCTTCTTGTCCACACCTCTAATCAGGGTGTGGTCTCATGTTCTAGTAGTACATATCCCAAACGCAATTTCTTTTGTTAATGAATAGAGCAGACTTTGAGAGGGGTCTGATGAGCCCTCAAAAGTGCTTCTCGGCGTCAAAGTATCTTTAGAAAAGAATCGGTCATTCATCCAATCGCCTTTGTTCGGCATGACCCACGCATTTTTAAAGAAAATATCGAGTTCCGGTAAGGGTCAGAAATAATTTGTGAGCTTTCTTATTCATTTGGTGATAGTTTGTCCTCGTATTCGAAATACATGTAGCTGGAAAGTTTTGACCCAAGATTCACGTCTTCATAAGTGTGTAGTCCGAAATTCACACGTCTGTGTACAGTGCATATGACTTCCAGAAAGTATAAGTCAATTTAACAATTTGATGATGCAATAACTTCACATGAGGTTATATGCACCAATTCGTTTGCACTACAAAATCAATCTTTCCCTATAATTATTGCTAAAAGACATTTGCTTTCTGTTCGTTTGTTTGTTTGTTTGATTTTATTTCTGCGTTCAAAAAGATACAAATTCAAATTCAAAGTACAAATATTCGAGCAATAACAAAATAATACAGTGAATAAAATGTTTACAAAATAAATTAACTAGAAAATCATGTACAAGTTTATCATATAATAAACATGTACGAAGCATACAAATAAAATAAGAAATATACAGTAAATGTATTGACTGCTTGACGAGAACTCCACTTTATCTTTAACCGAACGTCCCATCTTGACCAACAAAAGACATTTCGATCTGGTTCGCGCATTTTAACAAAAGCCTCAAAGAAAGGGCGTCAACTAATCTCTCAGCTCGAGTAACGTTTTCATTCTTTACACTAATCTCGACTCTCGTAAGAATGTATAGATAAATACGATGGTGTCTTGCGGCGTCTTCGTATACTTTCGTTATCTATCATATACACAATCGTACACACCACACACACACACAAAGACACAACACTCACACACGTACGCACAGGAGCTATTTACTTAGTACTACGTAAGAAAGCCATCTGGAAATGGTGTATGGATGAAAGCGAAGTTTGTGGAGAAACTTTCCAGATTTCATTTCGTTTCTATTAATGTCTGCATTGTCTGAAGGCGTAGCCGGCTGACCAAAGGAAAATATTCGGAAATACACCAACAGAAAAGACTTTCATCGCCGTGGAACCTATTTTCTTGACATATTTGGTAAGACATTGAATTTCTTAATTTTGATACGTACACTGCTCGCCTATATGATGTCATGGTGTGTTGCAATGCAGCACACTCCGTTATACCTTTTTCTTTTGGAAATCACATTTCATATTTTTTCCCTCAATAACGGTTAATAAACCTATATGTATTCAAGAACGTACATTACACTGTACATACAATGTGTAGCCGCTGACCTCCGGCAGAAGTGGAGGAGGAGGAGAAGAAGAATGTTAAAGAAGGGGTTAAATAGGAGGATCAGATATATTAGATCTTCTACAGCACTGTACATATATATCTGCACAACCTCAAAGTACGAAGATACACCAACAACATGGTGGCCTGTACTTCAACAGAAGAAGGAGTAGAAAGAGCTGAAGAAAAAGAACAAATAGTATGGTGGCCCTGAAGGGACATCGCGAATAGACTAAATCGTGAAAAATATGCGATAAAATTCACGATATCGTCAATTTTATCGCATATTTTTCACGAAGAAATTCACGAAATTGACGATATCGTGAACTTTATCGTGAACTTTTCACGATGAAATTGACGATATCGTGAATTTTATCGTGAAAAGTTCACGATATAAAGTTCACGATATCGTCAATTTTATCGTGTACTCTATCGTGTACTCTATCTCTCTCTCTGTTGTTGTCCCTCCGCTTTTCGTGTACTCTCCTGACGGGCGCTTCGTAAACAAAACCAGCCCTAGCTGGGGGAGACAGAGAGAAGGAAAAAAGGGAAAGGGAAAGAGAAGATAAAAGGAAAGAAAGAATAATAAGAAGAAAAGAGGGAAACGGGGGGGGGGGGCGAAGGGCTCTTGCCTCCTCCTCACTCCCCCCCCCCCCTCCCCGCCAAAAAATAAATCAGAGAGAGAGAGAGAAGGGAAAGGGAAAGGGAAAGGGAAAGAGAAGATAAAAGGAAAGAAAGAAGAGGAAGAAGAAGAAAAGAGGAAAACGGGGGAAGGGCGAAGGACTCTTGCCCCCCCCCCCCTCCCCCCCCCCCCCGTGAACTTTTCACGATAAAATTCACGATATCGTCAATTTCATCGTGAAAAGTTCACGATAAAGTTCACGATATCGTCAATTTCGTGAATTTCTTCGTGAAAAATATGCGATAAAATTGACGATATCGTGAATTTTATCGCATATTTTTCACGATTTAGTCTATTCGCGATGTCCCTTCAGGGCCACCATAAAATAGTCATAGTAATACTACATGTATATATACACCTGCACAGCACCTACAACAGTACGAGAATACACCCGACGGTGGCCTGTACTTATAGCGAAGAAGAAGAAAATGAAGAATGATAAAAATAAAAAAGGGAATAAAGAGAAAACTAGATCAAGGACAAGAAGAAGAGAAATCAAGAAGAAGGAGAAGAGTCCCTCCTTTTTTTTCCAAGATGATAGAAGGTATTATTCACATTTATTTAGAGTAGGAAAGACAAACAAATCAAAAGGGTTTCTCTTATGGGAGCCTAGGTGGTATAAAAATACTTGACATACCAAGCAATTGTTCAGCTTCCGACTGATTAATGGCTGGGTAGATTTTTTTCAATGAGATTTATGGAGCGTGGAAAACACTGTTTTCGTATTGGTTCAACTTGTTGGGAGGCATCAATTTACTGTTGAACTGATGGTATTGCTCTTATGATATTCTAGTTCAAAAGAAAATTCCATTATTTCTACATAGAAATTGGCATGGGAAATGATTAGATACTGCACTTAACAGTGAACGATGTTTGTATATAGCCAATGAATCGGTGAAAGTTTCAGATCAGATTATTTGGCACAACAAACATGAAGTATATGATAATCAGTTATTCTTTTATAAAGGCTGGTATGACAGTGATCTAGTCTATTTAGGGAACCTTTTTTTTATGAGAGATGGCTTTCGGGCAACAGGTAGGCTCAATCAATCCTAATGATATACACGAGCATCATACAAGGCAAATAGACAGTGGATGTTTACGTGTGCCTAGATTTCACACTGATTGTTATAAGTGTAGTCCAATTGTTTCTTCCATATATTTGAATGGAATAAGCTAGATAATTCGTTGAGAAAGGCTTCCTCTGTCAATTCATATAAGAGATTGTTTAAACAAAGTTGTAATTTGTGAATGGCTCAGCCGAACTAATATTAACATGACTTATTCACATAATTGCGACTTAATCAATATTTTCCTATTGACATTACTGTTTACTAGGTTAATGATATATGCTTGTTTTGCATACAAGTATTATTTTTGTAACTGTTCTGTATAAACGTTATAAACGATGTGAATATGTTCATGTTTATTCAGGGCCCCATGGAAGACCACTACTTGTTGGTGAATGGGCTACCCTGTCAAATTATAATAAATAAATTAATCAATAAAATCGCAGGTGCACTCTAAACGAAAAAGCAATGCTCTGTTTGACTATGCAAGACTTAAATGAGCGATACCACTTGTATGGGTCAATAGATAAACTGAAGAATTTATACATGATTATACTAGACAAGAAATTGAAAGCAAAGTTCCTTATCTGTTCGTTGCAAATAAGGTAAAAATGTTACTGATTTGAGTAGCAATCGTTTCTATTAACTCATTCTAAGAACAAAGAACATCTTAAGTAACCTTTAGGGTGGAACTTTGGAAGGGGACACAATTTTTCTTTTGTGCATACCTGATGAATGTTACATCGGTTACAATGAGGTTATATCTGGTACAAATTTTGGAAAGGAATTTTGCATCTACCCTCTTCTCCTTCTTATTCTTCTTCTTCTTATTCTTCTTCCTCGGCTGTCATAGCAAGTAGGTCCATGGTCATAGTACGCAGGAATGTCATCTCTTTCTTCTCTTTTGCCTTTAAAAAAAAAAATCAGAAATCACCACACGAGTATATTCACCACTATGGGGATTCGACGACAGTTCATAGGCTTCACTGGGGCCGTACAGGTCCTTCTGACCCTCGTGATGTTTGCCATGGGTGCAACGCTTTCAGACATAGCCATCGTGCAGGGGGTTGTCCAGGGTTCTGCAGATGACAGCAGTATCGACAGCATGGCCATTGGAGTTCCTCTCTGGGGAGGGATAGTGGTAAGTACTACCTTCTTCTTATTAGTTGATCCCTCCGCTATTTTGGAGATTCCTGGAGTCCAAATGAAGTAAATGTGTACATCCAACCGGTTAGGAGCTTTGGATAGCATTAGAACGAAAGGCATACATTTTGTATAGAAGAGCGATCATAGTAGAATAAGGCTATTTTGTATTTCGGAAGGGTGGCATGGATGAAAGGGTAACGGAATAGGAGGGGTAAATAGCTGTGGGTCATTATAATCATACAGGTTTAAACACCAAGCAGGGCATGTGAGTTAAAAGTCTTACCTCCCTGCACCAAGCTAGACGATAGTGGGTTGTCCATCTGGTAAGGGACGGGTGGTGGCAACAATATGGTTATATACCGGTGTGGCAATTCTACAATCTGTCCAGGATTCTCCAGAAGACAGTATAGATCATCAGCATGCCCATTGTAGTTCCTCTCTGGGAGGGATAGTGGTCAGTAGTACCCTTCTCCGTGTAGTCGGTTGACCATCGGTCAATGGACGGTATAGTGTCACGTGTGGTATTTTTCAGCAGGGTCAATCTACTACCTAGGTTTCTTTAGATAAAAGCATTAACAACATGGCCATTGGTGTTCTGCCGAGGGGAGGGATAGTGAAAAACACTGTCTTAGGTGTGGGTGGTGTCACGGTCATTAGTTGTGAACACTGTCAAACAGTTACTAGAGTCGCTGACCTAGTCATTTTGCAGTTTCTCGCCCAAGAATCTCCGAAAAACAGTATCTACAGCATGTCCTCGACATGGAAGGTCCGACCCCACTCAACGCTCTCCAGATAATTACGAATGTGATAACTACACGTGTAAAGGTGTACGGCCTCTTATAATTTCCGATGCTTCACCGAAATTTGGTTTATAAAAACTCCTTTTGGTTCTTTTTTAATATCTTTTTTAACATAGAAATTTTGCATCCAATCATTTTTGAGCAAGAACAAAACAATAGATTTGAACAAAGTATATGTCGTGATATAACGGTAAATCAAACACTGTTACATTAGTTGGACATGATTGTCTCTATGCATCTAGTAATACAACAAATGTATTGCGTTTGATAGAAAGAACCTGCTCAACTTCATAAAAAACGTGTTTACGCATCTTCTTAAAGCCCAACTGTCCTACTTGTAGCTACTTGCTCCCTCCATATAGACAAAATTTCCCAATCGGTGCCTGTTGGTCCCCCATGATCCTCTTTTTCTTATGTTAGTTGAAAGCTGAGTTAATGAGATAGCTATCTGTCAATGATCTCGCTGTGTGGTCTAATCCCTTCTGGCTCAGTAGTATTGACGGTCTTTAAAAGAACTGAAAGATAGCCGTTTCGTATTGATTCTACAAGTGTTGGTTTCTTTCCTTTAGATTCTGATGTGCGGGGCAGGAAACATCGTGGAAGCCTTTACTGCAAGATCTAGCCGCAAGCGAAAAAACGACCTTTTGCCGGTAAGTTTGTCATTTAAAAAATAGCTTCAAAGTCTTTTAAAACTAATACAGTCACACCTGTCTATAGCGACCACCCAAGAGTAAAACAAAATTGTTTTTGTAGACAGTTTCCTTTAGTACATGTTTCAATGGGAATCCATTTTCAAGGAAATCAAAAAATGTGGTGTTTGTAGAAAGGTGGTCATTAAAACAGGTTTGACTACAGTATTATTATTATTACTATTATCATTATAGTATTATACTATCATTATTATTACTATTATTATTGTTACTATTGCTATTATTATTATCAATTTGTTTACTTGACCAAGCATAAAAAGCACACGATTGTACAAAGCAATGGCAAGAGACACATACATTATCAGAAAATGAAAGAATAAAAGGAATGGGAGCAGCACGTGGGTCATCAGGGTGCACACAAGTGAAATGCAACATTGTTGCCCGGAGGCATATGCCCCCGCACTCACTACCAGTACAATCTCTACATTGAGTATTGCGCATCAGTAAGCATTTCTATAAAGAAGAACATTGCGGCCCGAATTCACAAAGAACGTTTGTCGACAAACCTTGGTTTTCGTACGTCATATGACGCGTTTTACGCGTTTTTTACAAACCTGGTTTGCAAAGAACAAAAGGAGGTTTGGCGAAACAAAAGGAGGTTTGAGCTCAAACCTTGCTTTGTGAATTCGGGCCTGCAAGTTTAAATACGCACCGGGCTTACATTCTAAAAAAAGATTGATTTGATTAATACAACAAAATTAAAGCTGAGAATTCTCGGGCGGGGGGGGGGGGGGGGGGGAGCTCATGTTGAACAAATTCTGATTGTAGGTGATTTATTTGTAAACCTCAAGATTCCCAGTCAAATAAACGAACAAATACACGAAGCGTGAAAAGCGTTGTCATAATATTTAAGAGCCTTATTATATAGGGTCTAAAGATACGGCTGGAGAGTTAGCCTAGGTGGCACATTTCTTCTGCTGTGTTTTTAACTAAGGTGATATCAGACAAAGTTTAATGGGCCTGTTTCATAAAAACTTGTAATCATTACCAAATCTTCTTTCAGTCAATCCTATCCAATCTAATGCCACGATTTCAGTAGCTTATAACAATTACCGTAGTTCTATGAAAGTTCTATGAAACGAGTCCAAGGTAGAAAGATTATAATCGGGAGCACCAGGAGTGTCAAGTCTAACAGATATGAACACTATACAAGAACCCAATATTATTATGATTATAATTAATTAATATCATTTCGCTTCATACAACCTGCAGTGCTCGATCGGTGCTTTCCTGGCCAACCTTATCGCTTTCGTCGTATCCGGCATCATCATCGGGATCTTCTCCTGGTCCATCTACGAGGTCGCTTCGACGTTCATCATCGCCGTCTCCACCGTGCTCCTATCAGCTAGTATTATCTTCCTCATGTCCATGTTAGCTATGTTCGTTGACTGCATGACTGTCTGTCTCAGTACCGGCCCTTCACAACCCGTGAGTACTTGTTAAAGCCCCACTGCACTACTTATAGCTACTTGGGCCCTCTATAGCAAACAATGCCTAATCGGTGCCTGTTGGTCCCCATGACCCCCTGTTTCTTATGTCAATTGAGAGCTGATTTGATGAGATAGCCTCCTGTCATTGATCTTGCAGGGAGCTCTAATCCCCATGGCCAAACTAGTGCAGACGGGCTTTGAAAGACTGTTCTTTTATTGTTTTTATTGATGTCACTATGATATTTCCATTGCTGTTCTTTCGAGTGTAATTTTTCGTCCTCTTCTCATCATTCTACTTCATCGTCATCATCATCATCATCATAATCATCATCATAATCATCATCATCATCATCATTATTTGTTATCATGTTTATTGATAATATTATCATTATCATTATAATGAGGATGATGATAATGTTATTCTTTTATTGATCATCATCATCACTATCATAATCATCATCAGATCACCACCATCATCATCATTATTACCGCCATCATCTTCATCACAAATCATCATCATCACCTTCAAATCATCCTCTTCTTTTCCATCACCACTTTGGGCAAGCTATTTTGTTCGACCACATGACGTAATTACATGTATAAGGTTTTTGTACACATGTTATACTAATCATTATTATCATGTGACGGCCGCAACCAAGATAGAATTCACTCCATGACGCCCCTCACTCTATTTCAAGCATGATGTTAGGAATGTCTTTAAACTCCTGGGGGCGTTTCACAAAGACTAAGATCAATCTTAAGTTGGACTTAACTATGGCAGGCTGTTCATGCCACTGTTTACTCTCACCATTTACTGGCATTGGTTTCTCAAGGGACGTACAAATCATGGTCACAAATCAACAGAATTTACATATTTTGATAATTCATTATTGAAGGAAAAAATATCTAAATATCATAATGGTAAGAGCAAACAGTGGCATGAACGGCCTGCCATAGTTACGTCAACTTAAACTCGATCTTAGTCTTGGTGAAACACTCCCCTGATGTCATTCGATTAATAAAAGTAATATGTTACTCATTTGATTGAATTTTAGATACTCACATGGATATATTTTTACCGAATTGAGAATAACGAACTACTACTGTACTTTATTTTGTTTTTCTGTTTATATTGTTTTTTTCTCTTTTCAGCGACCATACATTGTCGACTACGATCACGGTCCACCACGCGGCCCCGTACACGTATACAAGGCATGATGGGAATGTTTCAACTTTAACCCGTTGACTTCTGAATTATCTCATTACCATAGACCTAATACTGGGACCAGTCGACTCTCGTATACAAAGGGTTAATAAAGGAAGCCTTGAAACTGATCGGGAACCCCCCCCCCCCCCCCCACGAAATCAACTCAAGGCCTATCGTAACATTTCTAAATATGACGCACATTACTATTGAAAATGCCTTTAGCTTGATTATTTGAAAGTATTTGTGATTGTATTTTTGGGGGAAATGCTACATGCATATTCAGGCAGGCTTATACCTGTGATGTAACTCAATAACAAAGAATAGGACAAAAATGAGGGAAAACCCTCCCGCATTGCAACAAAGTACACATTCTAAACTTTATTACAATTATATGCAACTTCTTTTCTTTCCTGTTGGTAGAAAAAAGGCAAGTATAAGAAGTGCGAGTATAGGGGGCTTAAAGAAACCGATATCTTTGAATTGCCTTAATCGAAATATATCGTATGTCAATAATTAATCCAGTGAACTAACATGACTATATTATGATTTTGTTCAGCGAGGCTGAGATTTTGGAATAATACTAAAATGCAGTCATAAACAAAAAATCGTTTCCTTACGTTGATAAAAGATAAACGTTTTCGGTTTTAGACCCCCCCCCCCCCCCATAACCAGGTTATAGCGTGTTATTTTTGCTTGACATTTTTAAAGCGGTTTTCAGATTAATTCTCTAATAAGAAGAATAAAATGTTTCACAAAATATCGATGTTACCATTATGGTTTTATAAACAAAATCGAATATTGTCTCACTTATTATGCTGCAAGGTTTTCCCTGTCTTTGATGTATATTTTCTTTTGCATTCGTATTTTTTTATATATTTTGTTTGTTTTTACACAAAACTATGGAGAGCAATATTTTGTTTGATAGCGAGTATTTGTTGCCCCTCTCTCTTTTGTGATTATTTATATGGACCCAAAGAACGCAATACACAGTACATGAGATCTTCGCCCCATTTCACAAAAATTGTCATCAGTGACACGACAGTTTTTGTTATAAGCTAGTGAAATCCTTGCTTCTGATTGGTTATCAGCAGATATGTCACTGATCTTAGTCATTTGTCATTGCAAAAAAGCTTTGTGAAACGGGTCCCTGTAATTTCAACAAGAGACAACAAGAAACAATAACATAATCTCTCAGTGGTTTTCATTTATCAGGTAGAAGGTAGAAGATCCAATGTCAATTAAAATGACACCAAAGTTATCAATGTGAATTCTAAGGCTATTTTTGTGAGGCGATGTCGTTTACAAAATTTGCTACTTTTACGACAACCGTTGTCACAATTCAAGCTGCGAGAAATTTGCACATGACGGCTTTCCATACTATCATCTGTGTTAACGAGAGAAGGGACCCGTTTCTCAAAGCTTTCTTTCAATGACAAATTACAAAAAAATTAGTGACAAATCTGCTGATAACCAATCAGAAGCAAGGATTTCAGTAGCTTATAACAAAAACCGGTCACATGTCACTGATGACAAATTTGTGAAATGGGGCCCAAGAAATTGCGGTCTTTTGGGGGACACCCTGTATAATGTTCCTGCACTCCCTATTACCTGCACATAATTAACCAAAGATTACAGTTATTAATTAGTATTACCTCATTATCTAACTCGTAAAGGTCTTTATCTACTACTATAATTATTTCTCATTTTTCACCTTGATCTGATGACGTTCTTTGTTTATGATTTGTCATTATGTTATTAATCTATGTTTTCAATTCAATGTTTAATCTGGTAAAATAAAAAATAAATGTATTTTCTCCGGAAACCATTGATTCGTGATTCTAGTAAATATAACAACGCGTACTAAGGTATGGTATTTCATGCTCTACTATGCAGTTTCTGTTACAAGGATGTTTTTTTTACAGAAAAATAACAAGCAAACAAACGACACAATATAGTCAATGGCGTTTTCACTTTTGCAGGAGAGGTCATTTTGGCTGCGTCTCACGAAACCGTCACAAGTACAAGTTCAGCGACATCCCATTGAAACGCGTGTTAAACTTAATACACGCATGTCAATGGGATGTCGCTGAACTTGTACTTATGACGGTTTCGTGAGACACAGCCCTGGTCACTAAAACAGTCAATGCAGGTTTCACTTTCAATACACACTTGTCACAAAAAGGGTCAGTATTTGAATGGAAAAACTCCATTGATATAATTGTGAATATTTTAGGTATGCCTACCAATACAGAATACACATAGTATTTTAATTATTTTTGACGGCCTTATTAAGAAAAAGGGATACTAAGGGGAAAACGCCGAAATATGAAACAGAATAAATACAAATGACATGTATATACAAATAGCTAACTCTGAAAGATTACGGCATATTTTTGGGAGTCACTTCGACCGTGCTCTCATTATTTCATTTCTTTCACAAAGTAATCGCATGACCAGAACCCAACTTTTGTTTACCTTTCCCCTCTCTGTGTCTGTCTCTCTGTCTGTCTGACTCTCTCTCTCTCTCTGTATGTTTTCACTCTCTCTGTATGTTTTTCACTCTCTCTCTCTCTCTCTGTGTCTCTCCCTCTCTCTGTCTGTATGTCTGACTCTCTCTCTCTCTCCCCCTCTCTCTCTCTCTCTCTCTGTATGTCTGACTCTCTCCCTCTGTATGTCTGACTCTCTCCCCCTCTCTCTCTCTCTCTCTTTGTATGTTTGTCTCTCTCTCTGTGTCTCCCTCCATCTCTCTCTCTCTCTCTATATATATATATAAATATATATGTCTGTATGTCTGACTCTCTCCCTCTCCCTCTCTCTGTCTGTCTGTACGACTGACATTCTCTCTCTCTCCGTGTCTCTCTCTGACTGTCTATCTCTCTCTCTCCCTATATGTCTGACTCTCTTTCTCTCTCTCTCTCTCTGTCTCTGTCTCTGTACGACTGACTTTCTCTCTCTCCGTATCTCTCTTTATGTCTCTCTCTCCCCTCCGCTCTCTCTCATATCGCCATTCACACATCCAAGCCCAGCCGAGAATGACAATACATTAATACAAAAGTCTTTTTTTTCTGACTTAGATTTTTCTTTTAATTGGAATAACATACGCCGTAACCTGATACCTTAAAAACTAATATAATATATATGAAAGACGTGCTGGGGGTGTTTCACAAAGATTTTAAGTCGAACTTAACTCTATGTTGGACTTAAATATTATGGCGAGCTATTTGTAGCCTAATAATGAAATACATTCAAAAGCAAAATTCAAGTATTTAAGACGTTTCATAAATTCCACATCAAGAACATGAAATCTCCGAAGATGATAGCAAATATGAATGATTTAAATCACCATTTGTATGCATATTAAAATAATTTTTACAAAATATTTTCAATGTTGCTAAAGGCTTTCCATAATTAAGTCCAACTTAGAGATAAGTTCAACTCAGGATCTATGTGAAACACCCCCCTGATTGCATACATTCTGGTTTGTACATTATTCTTTCTTTAACATCAGTGGAAGAGCAGTCGTCTCGTACACACTAGGTTCGGGGGTCGAAACAAAGTTGATGCACTAAGTGTCATTTGATAAAGCATTAATCCTTATTACCACGTCCCTCGGAGAGGCCCGGGACTTAAAACCGTCGGCCCCTGGTTGCTCAAAATCATACAATTTAAAATCCACACACTGCTTCCTAAGAAGTCAGGAAAAACAAAGTATCATGCAGTTACATTTTGTATACATTTTATTATAAATGCATCTCGCATTTCGATGTTATAGCATAATCTTTTTTTTTCTTCGTCTGGCTTTTAGATGTTTTTAAAAATTTGTAATGAAATACGCGGTAACGTGATACGTTAAAATAATAATGTGAAATACGTCTGATTTCAGATGTCTTTGTAGATAGGCCTACATTTTTCAGTGGTAGAGGAATGGTCTCTTAATCGGAGGGTCCCGGGATCGAAACCCAGTCGATGTGCCAGTGCCCTTTGGTTAAGGAGTTTATTCTCGTTACCAAGTCTCCTGTAGATGACTTGACCTATTTAAATCTATTTCATTGAAAAAGATGTACACAAATTGACAAAAAATAAAAACCAAATCACCATAACTGAGTTGCATAAACAATACATAACAAAATTCAATGTACAACACCTTACATATCAGCAACATTGAATTGCAATACGCACAAAAATCGTGGAAATTTATATTTAAATACCTTTAAGTATTCTACAAGAGGGATTGTTGATACTGATGTAGAAAGATGTATTTTGTCGAGAGAGAATTCAACATAATTCCGGAGAAATGGGTTATTGACAATGAAGAGATATGGGTATAGCTTTATATAAAGAATAATGAAAGGAGAGGGAGAGAATGAGACTTTGGATGTGTGTGTGAGAGGGGGAGAGAGAGACACACACACACACACACATACAGAGACAAACAGACGGAGAGATAGAGGGGTAGACATGCATACGGAGAGAAGAAGGGTGTGTATGTGGGTATGTTGCCATGTGAAAGAAAGGGAGAAAGAGAGTGTGTTTGTTTGTGAGAGAGTGTGTTTGTTTGTGAGAAAGAGTTTGTGTGTGTGTGTGAGAGAGAGAGAGAGAGAGATTAAAAATAAAATGAAATGGAAGTACACTAGTACGTTTGAGAAAATTCAACGTACAAAAAAACAATTACAGTACAAAACTATCAAACAATATACTGTTTGATTTCATACACGTAGAAGAAGAAATATTCATATAGTACTGATATAACATACCCATTTTCTCTAAATAGACTAAAAACATGAAATAAAACAATTGTACTGAGGGCTATACAAAGTATTATCAAACTTCTTTCTCTATGATATGTATACAAACCCATTATTATTAATACCCTGTATCTAACTGTGAAATATAGGAACTCAACTGGAAATTTACTGTTGCCCATAAAGTTGGAGGAAAATATTCTTACATCTTTTTTATGAAATGATTGTCTCAATAATATGATATGTTATTGACATGTGAATTTATCATTCCCTCAGGTGCTTTATTGATCAATAAAGTTCTGAGAAAATGTAAACTTTATCTATTTAGAATAAATCATAATGTTGTCACAATCATTTCATGCAACGAAATAAGAAATAATTATTCCAACTTAATGGTAAACTGTGCAGTTTCACTATTTCAAGCTTAAAAAACTAATATTTAGAAAAAAAGGAAGACATGGTCATTTGACAAACCGAACAGAGCACCTTGATCAAAACATCAATGTAGAAATGTTATGATAGTGAACTAGATCAAGATTTTTCTTAAATCTGTTATTAATTTAATCCTAAATTAAAAATATTGGTCATATTAAATCACCATTTTAAAGAATAAGGCTAAACCCAACACTATAATGTTTAGCAAAGCATTTTAAAGCTGATCTTCCGTTAGTCCTCGGTCCTATAAGCTTGTGATTTGACAATTAAATTTTAAGAGTGTACTTAAACTAAATGCTATTATATCATAGACTTCCACTCAAGTCGCTGTAGGAAAAACGATTTATTATCACTAGTATCATGATCGAGAATATAGCATCAATTTTGTTTGTGCCTATCTTGTTCCAAAATCGAAATGATTAAAAAGTCACTGATCTCGCTTGTATTATTATTATTGATGTTATAGTTATTAATGTTGTTATTGGATTAATTTAAAAGTCGTAGATCCTTCAAATATGATGATGAACGCCATTTATTCGGTCTAGAATTTTACCCCGGTCGTTGTACGAAGATTTTGTTACACTACTTTTACTATTTTTACTTGTAATTCCATCAGATCTCACTTGTTTTGGTCAGTCTAAATTAATCGCACTAAGGATGCGCTCCTTCCGGTTGTGAGTCCTGAAAAGATGAGATTGAAAAAATAGACAATGATAATGATAATTATAATGATAATAACATTGGGTACTTGTACAGAGCTCATATATGTCTGATGTGACACTTCTGGCGCTCCACGACCCCCCCCCCCCCCCGGCTTTAACATGGCTACCATTATGACGCTCGAGGCATTTCAAGGAATTGATTCCTGCCAGGTACCCATTAACCTCACCTTGGTCGAGTGTGGCAAATGCAGAATAATTTAGATTCACAATGACTTCGCATTAACTAAGCACGGCTCATCGCCTCAGCTATTTTGGCGAGTCGATCGGGCCCACATATTAGGTCGTCATTGTAACTGCGGCATATCTGACACTTAATGACCCGTAATTTGGAGGGGTGCATGGAACAGGTTATAATTCGTGCTGGACTGTTTATCCTGCAGAAGATTGATTGTTTGAACCAGTGAAATAAATAAAAACTCACAAAAACTTGCTGGAAATCATCTTCAATAAAAATCACACCTGTAATTTGCACATAGTGACCTGTGTGTTGAGCGCATGGTGTCGGGGTTACTTGACTTGATTTCCTAATCTCTCTATGCTCATTACTCAGTCCATATACATTGTCTACCAAAGTTGTTTGGCACATGCCATTTATGTGTTATATTGAACGTTCAGTGTAAGTTTTTCTTGGATTCTGTGAGAATTTATTTTCTATCATTACCAGAATTCCAGAACTCAAGCGCATCTTTAAAGCCTGTATGCACTAGTTTGGCCAGGAGGGATTATACCTCCCTGCGTGGACACTGGCAGGTGGATATCACATCAAATCAGCTCTCAATTAACATAAGAACAAGTGTGCCATAGGGGATCAATGGGTACCGCTTAGGCATTGTTGGATATATAGAGGGCGCAAGTAGCTACAAGTAGTGCAGTCCCGCTTTAAGGTTGGATTTCTGTGGTGTGTGTGTGTATTGGGTTATTACAGACGTGTATCAATCAGTTATGATTATTTACGTCTGGGGACCGACCTTTAAACGTCACCATCCGAAAGACGTGAATCAGTTTCGAGCCTGCGTCCTCGGTTGAATCAGTTTGTAACTTCCATTGTTAGCTGGATTACAGGCGCACGCCACGCCTAGTTATCATTATTATTAGTATCACTTACTATTATACTTATATGAGAGTACTTACATTTATGGTTTGTACAGTGCGGGGACCATCCTCGGTTGGTAGTCATAGTACATCGGCTGTTGCATCATTTGTCGCTAAAAACCGTCATGAAATACAAAACAAAACACAACAAAATAAATACTGGAAAGATGATCTCAGAAAACCCTTGAACTATATATGTATATTCAAACGTTTTCACATTGTTTTTATTTTACCATTGAATATTATTTTTCTAATGAGAAGAAGTCTCCTTTTTCGGTCTATGAGTGTCTTTCCGTCCGTTCACGACGGATGTAGCATCTTAGGATATTATCCTCAAAGCAATGTTTTATTTTCTTTCAGACAGTTTTATGCATATTCAATAAGATATTGTAGGTCAATCTTTCACGTTGTGCTGTTGACACGTTTAAATCTGGAGTACATTATTAAGGACTCCATGAAAGAACAGCTGCATTTTAATTATTTCAAGTTACATTATGAATTACATGAACACCCTCTAAATAAATATACACCAAGGCCGGCTTTCACAAAACTTGTCGTCAGTAACAAAAAAAAAATGACGGTTTTTGTTATAAGCTAATGAAATCCTTGCTTCTGATTGGTTATCAGCATATTAGTCACTGATTGTTGTCAATTGTCATTGACAAAAGGCTTTTTGAAACGGGTACCAGTTCGCAAACTTTGCTCAACAACTGACAAATATAAAGTAACTATTCCCAAATACAGATTTTCATCTACCCCACCAAAACGATTTGAAGTTAAGTTACTGGTTTGAAAACGTGGAAAAAAAACCTTTTCCGTCAGAAGATTAATCTGTCTTCACACTTTCAAGAGATCCCTAATTTGAACCAGACTTCTTTCCTCAATGATTTACGTAGCATTTGTTGTATATCGTGTGTCTCTTCGAGTTCAGGAACGTTTGGTTTCTAGCAATCCTCAAAAGAACATATCATCGACTATACGGAAAGCAATTGTATTTATGTTTTGTTTCAATTCTGCTTGATGTCGCTTTTATGTTAATAATTGTAGATTAAGGACCCCAAGAAAAAACAGTAGTATTCTATAAACACTGCTGAATTGGGCTTTCCACCGATTTTTGTCTATGTACATGTATAAATATTTCATTTTGTATATTTTACTATGTATAATATTTTAATCTGATTTAAAAACAACAACAACAACAATCGTACAGACAAACAAACAACTGAGCAAACTTACCTCGACTGGCGCACTTGGTCCGAAGAGGGAGCCAGAGCAGCAGTCGACAAACATGGCGATGAGAGCGAGGAAGAGGATGAAGACATTGGCCAAGATGATGGCGGTGTAGGTCTCGACGGCGTCCTGCTGCAAGATAATCAGTGTACCGGTGGTCGTGATCGCAGCCCATGCTCCCCAGGAGACGAACCCGATGCACAGACAGGCTACCATGACGGCGGTGAAGTTGCAGAAAACCACCGTGAATGAAAACTGGAACGAAGTATGAAGCAACAAATTCAATAGTTATATTTATATAATATTGGATGGCTTTGAGTGTGATACAGGAATATATTGCTCGAGCTATGACAATATTGAAAGAGTCGAAGACGAGTCCAATATTGTAATAGCGAGAGCAATATATTCTTGTATCACACGAAAACAAAGCCATACAATATTATTACTATCATCTATATCAGGCTGACTAGCAAAATATCAAAGTTTGACTTACCTCGGTAAATATAGCATTTTTTGGGGGGATACCGATATAGATAGTTGAAGTTCTCGGATGACTGAGCAATACGAAAACAATATTGGTCAGTCATCCGGGTACTTGGCTAAAATAGTGACACAGATTTATTGTACCACTTTGAAGCCTTATATATAGAGATAATAATAAATAACATTCTGAGTTTATATTATTAATTTAATCCCCTCCCCAAAAAGTGGAAAACAGGTATAATTTTTGTTAACGGCATACTCATCGCTAAATCATATACAGTGGGTTAAATCCATTTTAAAATGATACCTCATTTGTTATGTTTCCGTGAATTTCATGGAATGTACAGTAAATAAAATAATGGACAATTAAGGTCAAAAGTGAATAGTTCCAAAATGCACAGTACTGCTCTTGTTCGACTGTGCTTTCAAATTCCCCTTTCGCCTGGGCGTTTTAACAGTTGTTAACTCTTGCTTCAGAAAGTTGATGACTAAACTGTAGCAAATTGTGCCCAACATGTCATCTTAGTGTAAGAATTTCAATTTAAGATTCTTAAGAGTTCTGCTTTCATGGATGATCTGGGGGGCGTTTTATGAAACAATTAGTCGGTGGTTTTCACGACTAATATCATGTTCACCGACAATTCTTTTGTCACCGACTATTTTCCAGGATTGTGATTGGTCAAATTTAGTCAGCGCTGACTAAATTGTCAGTGAACATGATATAAGTCGGTGAAAACCACCGACTAATTGTTTCATGAAACGCCCCCCTGTTTGGAACAAAAGCTCCAGCTCTGTCATCTACAAAAACCACACTCTTCTACGTCAAGTATCATGCGAAGAATAAGAAACAGTTACTATTAATTCAGTACGTGACGTACAAACGCTAATGAAATCGCCTAAGGTTACACGCCTAAAAATTAAACAACAACAATAACGGTTGATATTTCGAAAGTTTTTGCGACCGTGTTAGCAGCAAAATAAACTTGCACTGAAAATAAATCATGATCATATCAAATAAAGACATACAAATACAACTCAATACGGACAGTATGTTAAACAAACAGGAGGTAAAAACAATAATACATATATAGTAACAGAATAAAAAACAAACAAATGATAGCTATACTTTTGGGGAACTTACTTTACAAGTACTTTTTACCACATTTAAGTTTGCCCTTTTCTCATTTTCGACTGGTTAATTTGTTGTCTTTGATACTGTTTACATGTATAACATTTACATCAATTTGTATGATTGCACGTATTTAAAAAAAATAAGTATAATATTGTAATGATCTATTGTTTTTGAATGAAATATAAATTACCGGCAAGGTATCCTCTCGATCTCGTTGCTGCTTCCGCTTCTTCTCAAAGACCTGCGTCAAGTTTGCACATCCAATCAGAACGAACTACAGAGGGCAGCAAAAACAGAAAAAGAAATATTTCAATTAAAGGTAAAGACCAGTATTGGAAACGCCCCAGTTTCAAAAAATGAAATGGAAGCTCTCATTACCAATCATGTGAAAGAATATGTTTTGAATAATACATGATGATAAAAAATTTGCCGGGGAAACCGCCTACTAATTCATATATTTGGTAAATTTGTTTCTCTCATGGTCTGTGAGAGATATAGGGTAGTCCCATATACATCTTTCTGTGTATAGTGCTTGTAACTTTACGAAGAATGGGCCAAATTTCTTATCATTTTGATGATTCCAGAACCTTGCAGATGCTAGATGCTAGATGATCAACCTTTTCTGATCGATTCCACAACGTTTCTTTCACAACGCAATCGCATGACTATAACTGGTCTTTACCTTTAAACACATTATGTGGTGCACAACTTTTTGAATAATTTTACACAGCCGTACACAACAAATTTACAGTGTATGCACTTGGAGAGCAAAATAATGATTATGTTTTATTTACTAATGTAAAGCCATTTGACCATGTATATGTATAGGCGGCTTAGGCGCTATATAAATATCAATAATGTATGAGCAGTTTATGTATGCATGTAAGAACAGAGGCATTTCAATCAAACAAAGTTCATAATTAAAAGGTTTACAAAATAAAATAAATAGAACTAATTGGACGAAATTCGCAAAATTAAAGTATTTAGTATTAGATATGCAGAGTTAGGAAAAAAACCTCGGGAATGAAGAAAAGTATGAAATTGAATGACAAAATAGTGTTAAAATGAATGGGAAAGCCTATACTACCACTTGGGCAATAACCATCGTCGTGAACTAAAAGTTAGTGAGTAGTGAGGATGAGGATGGAGTCCACTGAGAGATAGTGGCTCGAATTCACAAAGGAGGTAATTTGTCGACAAACCTTGGTTTTCGTACGTCATATGACGCGTTTTTACGCGTTTTTTTTTTACAAACCTGGTTTGTAAAGAAAACAAGGAGGTTTGGCGAAACAAAAGGAGGTTTGTCGACAAACCTCCTTTGTGAAGTCGGGCCAATAAGCTCATCATCACAAACAGCACATTATGTAAATAAAATTAAATTCGATAGTAACATTAATCTTTTGGCTAAACAAATGTTTTAAATTACTAGATATCGAAGTCTCAAATCAATTTATAGATTTCAGCATATAGAACATGAAGTCCAGCATTTTAAAACGACTCCATCCGATGATATACGTGTGGTTTTTCATGGAGTGTAAATTCTACTCATTTTCAGGAAACACGTATTGTTTTGAGGTTTGACATCCATTCAACATGTTAAAACATGAGTCATAATGTAATAAATCGGATTTTCTAACAATACGTTATCATAATACGTCACGTGGTGAATAGACATGCATACATATCCCATAACTTCACACACTAACGTATACTCAAAGCAGTTGGGCGTATATCACGGAGACGTCATTGAATTAAGTTTGGTTCAGAGGAGAATAAAACAAAACTCTTTTGAATAATACAGTGCAAATAAAATACGTCACACGGTCTCGTGCCTACGTCAGAGGGCAAAAAGATCTGTTCTTAAAGTTTTACTTTACAGAGCAGGTTATGTTCCGGTGAAGTTAAAATAATTTGTGAGATTCTTATTCGTTTTATGTCACTTTGGAAGGAAATGATAGTAGAAATGTCTTTTGAAAAGTATTGCTCTTTAATTTTCTCATATTATGGCAAGAATTGTTTGGACCGATGTACTATTAAAGGCCCACTGTACTACTTGTTGCTACTTGCTCCGTCTATATAACAAACAATGCCTAATCGGTGACCATTTATCCCCCATGATCCTCTTTTTCTTATGTTAATTGGAGCTGATTTGATGAGATAACCACATGTCCAGTGACCTTGCAGTGTGGTCTAATCCTTCCTGTACACTAGTACAGATGGGCTTTAAAGTTATTACGCTCAAGAGTATAAGCACAGCGTTATTTTTGAAGGCTTTCACAGTGTTTGGATAATAGTTCATGATGAGTTTACACAGGGCTTTTAAAGTGCCCACAAGGTGTAATACAGTGTGAACAGGGAGTACACGCAACAGCGTAAGCACTGTGTGAACACCCTATGGTCAGAGTAAGATTCACATTAATTAATTCATACAACAGTGAACGAAATATGAATGCGTTCACATTTCACACTTCCCAGTGTTCAATTAAAATAGATACACAGTATTTGCAATGTTTCTTAATTGTAATATTATATCTTGATAAACTATGGCCAGATATTTGAACACGTTCACCACAGAATAAATACGGAGCACTCCCAGTGTTTACCTTATTCATACACATTTTAAGGGTGTAATGCACGGTGTTCATTATGTTTAAACACGGCGAAATACCAAAGCCACCGTTTTCAATACCATACTGAATCTTTGGAACACCTCAACATCGCGAAATAACGATTTTTGACAGCATCACTATACACCATAGATATATTTATATACACCGTACGTACAATAAGAATACATGGCACAATAAAGCCATGCATTTCAATATTCGTTTTGTACTGTGTGTATCTGTATATCTTGCCTTCAATTTTGCCATGATCAGTAAAACAGCAAAATTAGAGCGAGATTCGCTTACAAAACAAGCCTGCGATTGTCTATGGACAATGCTATGTATACAGTTGAATGCTTCTTACACTAAAGGTAAATATTTCATTTGACCCGTTACGAATCATGCGATATGCATTTGCATTCAATCTTTGGGTGTGTCCATGGCAAATTTGAGCCAGAAAACTGTGCAGTTGTGTAAGGCATGATGATGATGGTCCAAGTACATGTCCATTCATTTACAACAGCGAGATTGCTTTCTATACTGCTGTGCACAATTCAAGACCCAGTACGTATTTCAGACGGAGTTAAAAGTAACCTCACCCCAACAAATATCTTAACTTATTCTGGGAGATTCATTATATTCTTGCCCATTTATCTACAAGATTCCCCTCCAAAGTGTATGAGAGTTGCACAAAGCAAGACAAATGTACAGTTTCTCAGCACGTCATGGGCATCGCCATTTTCTTAATAACGTCATTTATCAAGTAAATGTATTCAAATTTGTGGACGCTTCCTTTCCAGGTGTGTGTGGTGATGAAGCATTTCATTCACCTGCTATTTTCACCTTGTACTACATTTGCCAAAACGCAAATTGCATAAATAAGTTGGTGCTCTTCTGGTGTGAAGGTTTTTCAAAAATGAAATGAATTTGTCAACTGCTATATTTAAGTATTTTTTAAATGAATTAGTTACAATTGCTCCCCTTTTATAAATTGTTCACCAAATATAATTTCTATCTTCTCAGCTATGATTTTTCAACATTGAAAAGTAAAGGTTTTGTTATTGATTTCAAAAGTATTTCCAACTAAAGCTTGGTACATGATCAACTTCAACTGGTACGTCACATTTTCAAAAAACTGTGCGCCCATGTCATACTGAAAGACATCACACTATGCCAAGATTATCTTCATTT